GGAATTACAGGCATGCGCTACCACGCCCAGCTGATTTTTTGATTTTATTGTAGAGATGAGGTCTCGCTGCCCAGGCGGGTCTCGAACCCACAGGCTCAGGCAATCCACTCACCTCAGCCTCCCAAAGGCGCGGGATTACAGGCTGAGTCACTGAGCCCGGCTAGCTATCTACTCTTTTCAATGATTCTCTGAGTAATAAATGGGTAAGAATTGTTCTCTGAGGGAGGTGGGATTAATGGTAGTCAATATCTGTCTGGGGGGGGCACACCTCATCAATAAGGGTACCTACACAGTGAATATTTGTATACCTAACCCTTAACTGTATCCCACAAGTTTAAAATTTTTAAAAAATTTAAAAAAAAAAAGAATTGTTCTCTGGTGAACTAGAGAAAATCTAAACTTCCCAGAGGAAATTTCATAAGCACAGTGATCTATTCTGTTAACCATTAATGTACACGTGTTCTTTAGTTCTATGTAATTTGGTCTTGTAACTGTTTAGCCAATGAGATTTAGAAGGGCAGGACTGAAATGTTGGCATACAAATGATGTACTGTTCTGCATTGTTTTTGAATTAGGAAAATGACTTTGGTTCTGTTCATGGCAGAACAGGAAAGAGAAATTTTAGTTTCACCTACTTTACCAGCAAACAGTACAACAAATTATCAGGAAACTTTAATTTGGGAGAACTCAAGGATTAGTTTCTTGGTTGTATTTGTACGGAGGTTCTTGGACATCACAGAAGGTACACACGATAGGAGCCCCGCAAGCCTGCTTAGCGATGCCGACACTGAACCCAAGACTAACTTTCTTTGTACACCACTGTTCCAGGGAGCTACAGCGTGCTAAGCCTGCATGCCTGCATGTGTCTCATGGCTGGTCCTCACAATATCAACTCGACTGACTCCATGTTTGTTTTTTTTTTTTTTTTTGAGTTGGAGTCTCACTCTGTCGCCCAGGCTGGAGGGCAGTGGCACGCTCCCGGCCACCGCAGCCTCCACCTGCTGGGCTCTGGCGATCCTTCCGCCTCAGCCTTCCAAGTAGCTGGAACTGCAGGCGCGCGCTACCACACCCGGCTAATTTTTGATTTATTGTAGAGATGAGGTCTCGCCAAGTTGCCCGCGCGGGTCTCGAACCCGTGGGCTCAGGCAATCCACTCACTTCAGCCTCCCAAAGCGCGGGATTACAGGCTGAGCCACCGAACTCGGCTCATGTTTGGTTTCAAATCCCACAGCTCTTACCTCTGTGACTTTTCTTCTATCAACCACGAAGTGATCGCAGGAGTTGATGAGACTTAAGAGAGCAACGGCATCACATTCCTCGGGTCCTCGTTTGTCTGTCAGTCCTCGTGGCATGAAGGCCTGTGGTAGGGGGAAGCACAAGGGGCACCTGAGTCTCCTCCAACTGCCTGCCTATTTCCCAAATGATGACTGAAATGCTCTTACACACTGAGGTTTCAGGTTAGAGTCTTGTGAGTCTATGATGCAAGTGGGGAAACAGTATCACAGCTAAGACTCAGTCACGGGCAATAACCGAAGGGCTGCACTATCCCTCTGCTATTAGATACACCTGACATAACTGGCTTTCTGTCCTGAGCCTATAAGCAAAAAGCATGGGTAAAAGGCACCTTTTTTCCCTTCCTTACTGAAATTTCAGTGGTTAAGTTTTTTTTTTGTTTTTTGTCTTTGAGTTGGAGTCTCACTCCATCGCCCAGACTGGAGTGCAGTGGCACGCTCCTGGTCACCGCAGCCTCGACCTGCTGGGCTCTGGCGATCCTTCCGCCTCAGCCTTCTGAGTAGCTGGAACTGCAGGCGTGCGCTACCACGCCTGGCTAATTTTTGATTTATTGTAGAGATGAGGTCTTGCCAAGTTGCCCGGGTGAGTCTCAAACCCGCGGGCTCAGGCAATCCACTCGCCTTGGCCTCCCAAAGTGCTGGGATTACAGACTGAGCCACCGAGCCCAGCCTGGTTCAGTCGTTAAAGAAGATTTTAAAACTATAGTTACTCCACAGTCGACACTTTCTAAATGACTTAAGGAAGTTCAGTACGGAATTATTAAGAGTCTGGGCTTTGAAGTGCAACAGAACTGGGTTCAAATGACAGCTCTGCCACTTGCCAGCTGTGGGACCTCAGCCAAGTTACTTATCTTCAGATTCCTCATCAGTAAACGGGGAATAACTGTCCTCATCTACCTTGCAGGATGTTGTGAAAATTAAATAAGTGAAGGCACATGCTAATAACCAGGCCATAAATGCTGGCGGTTATTATGTCAATGGTGCAAGGTGAGTAGGACCCACATAGGAGTTACAGATGGAATCCCAGGATTTGAGATACTCGACATACCAGAAGGGTCTCGTTCTAGCAGGATATTGCCTTTAGTAGGATTTGATGGCATGGACCCCAAAAATGGTGTGATAGCAAGGTTTGGGCATATTTCTTTCCTGAACTATTTCCCAACTTACATCTGAATATGACAACTTTGCCAGGCTAAGAATCTCAAGGGTTCATCCCTGTCAAGGGACTAGAACAGGGGACATACAAAAAATTACTCACAATAAGAACTCGAGATAAAAGAGACCTGTTCCACTGAAAGCAAACACATTTCAGTAGGCAAGCAACGACAATGCCTCCTACAGGACTGCTCGCCACAGTATTCTAGAAGGCTGGTGTCAATGCTGATGCACACCTAGGAGAGTTAGGGCTATGTTTCTGATGGTGGTGGAATCATGCACCTGAGCTTCACATAACTCAGGATTTTGCAGATGCTAAATGGCCCCTATTAAAAGGTGCAGCAGTCAGTACCATCACTATTTTTGTCTGACTTAACAGTCACCGACATACCAACCCTCTGAAAGTCGTCTATTATGGGTACTACAAAGGTTAGCAAAGAAGCTAACTAACTTACCACAGGCAAACGAATGCAATAAAACCAAAGAAAAGAAACTGCTTAATTCAGTTGCTGCTGAGAAGAAAAGGCAAAGTTAGAGAATTCTTAGTTGCTTCCAAATCAGGCATAGTTTGTCTTTTCCATTATAAGGTAGGTCCCACCTGGCATTTTTTTCACTAATATAAATCAGTCTCTTTCATGTTAAAGTGGTACAATTACTCTCTTTCTCCAGAACTAGAAGCCAACAGGGAGGATCTCTTGCCTCCTTGAAGTGAAAGCAGTGTCTTAAAACTGTATTGCATACCATACTGTTCCACAAGGTAAATGCACTGCAGTGAGAAACGTATGTCATTGCCCCTCTCTATCTTCCACTGTCTCTCCATTGAGTAGGAGGAGATAAAGCTGGAGAAATACACAGGGGCCAGATCATGCCGGGCCTTACTGGCTTGGAAAGGAGTGTGGAGTTTATTCTCAGGCAAGGGAATGAAATGTTCTAGCTCCCATTTGAAGACTGCACAGCCTGCTATGTGAAAAACCAACCAGAGGCACCCAGAGCAGCAGAGGAAGCCAGGCAGGGAGAGTGAGAGTTGTGATGTGGAGATGGAGAGGAGGTCTCCAAAACTATTTTGCAGGTACAAACAAGGAGGGTGGTGAGAGGGAAAGAGATGAAACAAGAAAGATTCTAGAAAGTTGGCGGTGGGGAATGGGCAGAGGGTGAGGGGTAGAGATAAGAAAGAAGTCCTACTTTAGAATTTAAAAAAAGGCCCCATTAGGTGCAGGGTCAGGTAAGCAGTAGTTTATATATGTGCACCTGGTGCTCAGAAGAGGGCAGGGATAGAGCCACCAATGTGGGAGGCATGAACACAAAGGTAGCAATTAGCTCCACGGGCTTGGGCAGTATCATCAGAGAAGAGGGGACCAAAAAGGGCCCAGCCCTGAGTCAGGCCAACTGACATTAAGGAGGCTGAGCAGGAGGAGCCAGGGAGATGGAAAGAAAGCCAGGAGGGTTTCAAGGAGAGCAGCCAGTAGTGCTGAATGCCCCCAAGAGGAAAGCAAGAGGCCAGAAACTGAAAGCCACAGGTGCAGTGAAGTGGCAGGGCTGAAGCCAGGGTGAAGTGGGTTGAAAACTAAGTGGGAGCTGAGGAAAAGAGAACAGGCATCAAGCCGGCTTTTTTGAGAAGCTTTGCTGGGTACGCTTACAGGAGGCGGAGAAATGGGAGACAGCAGGAGGGAATGAATCAGGAGAATTTTTCCTTTCTTTTAAAATCTTATTTTCTAGCCGGGCTCGGTGGCTCAGCCTGTAATCCCAGCACTTTGGGAGGCTGAGGTGAGTGGACTGCCTGAACCCACGGGTTCGAGAGCCGCCTGGGCAACTTGGCGAGACCTCATCTCTACAATAAATCAAAAAAATTAGCCGGGCGTGGTAGTGTGCGTCTGTAGTTCCAGCTTCTTGGAAGGCTGAGGCGGAAGGATCGCCGGAGCCCAGCAGGTCGAGGCTGAGGTGGCCAGGAGCGTGCCACTGCACTCCAGTCTGGGCGACAGAGTGAGACTCCAACTCCAAAAAAATAAAATAAAATAAAATAAAATCTTATTTTCTATGTATCTATTCAAGTGTGTGTGTGTGTGTGTGTGTGTGTGTGTGTGTTTTCTCTTTTTTCTTTTTATTTTTTTGAGTCAGAGTCTCACTCCGTCACCCAGACTGGAGTGCAGTGGCACACTCATGGCCACCGCAGCCTCGACCTGCTGGGCTCCAGCAGTCCTTCCACCTCAGCCTTCAGAGTAGCTGGAACTACAGGCATGTGCCACCACACCCAGCTAATTTTTTTCATTTATTGTAGAGACGAGGTCTCACTATGTTGCCCAGGCTGGTCTCAAACCCGTGGGCTCAGGCAATCCTCTCGCCTCCGCCTCTCAAAGTGCTGGGATTACAGGCGTGAGCCACTGTGCCCAGCATATTTTTTCTTTTTTAAATTTTATAATTTTTTGTAGAGATGAGGTCTCACTATGTTGACCAGGCTGGTCTTGACCTTCTGGGCTCAAGAGTTTTTAAAAAACGTATTTATTAAGATATAGTTCACCCATCTACAGCGTACACTTCGGTGGTTTTTAGTCTACTCACAGAGTTGTGTAACCATCACCACAGTCAATTTTAGAACATTTTCATCATCCCCAAAAGAAACTCCATACCCATTAGCTATCACTCCCCATTCCCCTAGCCCTTGGCAACCACTAGTCTACTTCTGCCACTATAGATCTGCCTATTCTGGACATTTCATGTAAGTGGAATCAAACAATATGCAACTTGCTTCTTTCACTTAGCATGTTTTCAAGATTCTTCCATTTTGTAGCATATATCAATACTTCATTCCTTTTTATAGCAAAATAATATTCCATTATATAAATATATTGCTTTTTTTTAATACATCCATCTGGTTGATGGACATTTGGGTTGGTTGCACCTTTTGGCTATTGTGAATAATGCTGCTATAAACATTTGTGTACATGTTTCTGTGTGGATGTATGTTTTCATTTCTATGGGGTATATATGATAACTCTGTTTAATCCTTTCTTTTAAAATTTGTAAATAAACCAAGGCAATATTAAAGTGTTTTTATGGTGATGGGAATAATTTGGGAAAGAGGAAGAGTGGACACCTGAATACTTCGAGTACTTGGGCAGGAGAAAAGGGATAAGATCCAATACACAAGTGGAGGTACAGGGCAATAAGAAGAGAGACATCGTTCTTCCTTTGCAGCAGAAGGAAAAAGATGGTGTACACAAAGGTAGTCTGGTAGGCTTGGCAAAAAGATGAGGAATGCAGCCAGCCCCCTTCATCCATGGGTTCCGACTCTTGGGACTCAACCAATCATGGATCAAAAATATTCAGAAGCCTAGGCAATATAGCAAGACTGACTCTACAAAAAACAAAAAAGTTAGACGTGGCAGGACCACTGAGGCTCGTGATCAAGAATGAAAGTGAAACCAATCAACTCCCTTGTGAGATTCTTCTCCTGAAGGAGAAGTAGATGATGATGCGTGTCATCAGGGCTGGAGCTGGGCCAGGCAAGTTCAGAGAAAAAAAGTTGAGATAACGGCGAGGAACTGACTATAATGATAGACTGTGGAATCTGAGCTGGCTGAGGTGACAAAGAAAGGCAGGAGGACAGAGGCTGCTGAGTATTGAGGAAGCAGAAGTCTCAAAGAGGTGGCAGCAGTACAGGGCCAAGGGGCGGCACCATGGTTGTTTGAAAAAGTGTGTCCAAGTCTAGCAGGATGTTAGATGTCCTGTGTTGACAGGGCCCAGGTGTGCACATGCAAGTGGGAGGCTGAGGCAGAGTAGAACAGAGGATGAGTGTGGACTACATGGTCTGCAGGCGACAGCAATCAAGAGGAGGAAAGAGTGGCACAGGCAAGCAGCATGGGCTTCAAGAGGATTCTGATGGTGTGAAAGTAGCAACAGAGACCAAAAGATGAGGGATAGTCATAGTAAAGGGCAGAATTTCGTTTCTTTCAGTTTCTTCTCTTTTTTAGGTAAAAGTAGAAGTTGGCAACTCTATGGTAGCAATGAAAAAAATGGGGAAGAGGGTACAGATGTGGTGAGTTTACTGGTTTTTTAATAGCCAAGAGTCTGAGATCACTGATACATTCCAACTTCTTCATTTTTGAGGTTAGGGAACAGACCGGCCCAATGTCACACCAGGCAGCTGAGCCAAGACTCAGATCATCTGCTTCCCAGGCACTGCTCCTTCCCAGGTGCCCACCTGTGCCAGTTGCTAACTAGCACATAGACTGACTCTGAAAGTTAATCCTCATTAGGAAGCCACTTCTGACTGCCCCTCTCCACCTGCCACTGGGCTTCTGACAAACATCAAAAAGTCAAAAGAATCTCCCCACTGGCCCAGCTAGTGAGTCACGTTGCCAAGATCTAAAGCAGATCTGGCTGCTTACCCTATTCTCACCTCCCCAAAGTTTTATTCCTTAGCTGGGCGCTTAAGGTCCTGTCTACTGTAGTCCTAACTTCCCTTGGGCTCCATCATCCTCATGGTACCCTAAACACGCCTTCCAGGACTCTCCCTCTATATCTGTGCTCAGTATGCTCGCTCTACATCTTGCCCCAGCATCACTTGTAGAAATCTTTCTATAACTTTCCAAGCAGGGTCGGCAAACTCAAATGCCTTCAGGGCGCAGAGAAGTAGAATAAAGCTTCTACTTCACTAAGATGAGTTGGGTCCACTGTAACAGCTCTGAACCGCCCAGATATCAGACTCTTGACTAAGCGAGTCTCACTCTGTTGTTCAGGCTGGAGTGCAGAGGCACGATCACAGTTCACCACAACCTCAAACTCCTGGGCTCAAGCGGTCTTCCTGCCTCAGCCTCCCCAGTAGCTGGAACTACAGGCACACACCCATTTTCTGTAGAAAGGAGGTCTTGCTGTGTTGCCCAGACTGGTCTCGAACTTCTGGGCCTAAGCGATCCTCCCGCCTCGACCTCCCAAAGTGGTGGGATTACAGGCGTGAGCCACCGCGCCCGGCTTTTTTGGCATCTCTGTTTACGAGGCCCTGGCTTCCACAAGAATAGACACGTGCCCCGGCGCTGGTGGACCCGCCGCCTCCTCCTTCCGTCACGGCCGCAGGTGCTTACCTTGGCCACCTCCCAGGCGTCGACGGGCCAGCGGCCCGGCCGGCAGTTTCCCCAGTGCACATCTCCATTTCTGTTGATGTGATGTCTTAAAATCTCCCGTTTCCATTCAGCGCACACCTGACACTGAGGCTGAAACTACAGGAGGCGGCGGTGAGGAGGGGCCCGGGAGGGAGGGGCGTCGCGGTTGGCCCCGCCCCGCGGAGGAAACGGGACACTGCGCTCCGGGACGGGGACAGGAGTAGGGTGGGGACGGTGGCCAAGGTTCCGAGCCAGGTGCTCACCTGGCGGGCGCGCGGGCTGCACCGTGAGCCGCCGCAGCAGGCGGCGCGGGGACCCAGGCTGGGCGCTGCCGCGAGCAGGCCGCGGTGGAAGGAGAACACCTCGCGGCCGATGAAGCCTTGCAGGCAGCTGCGCAGCAGCAGCAGACAGTGGCCTGCCTTCACCCAGTTCTTGTACTCGGCGCTGTTGAGGCGCACAGCCAGCTCGGACAGCACCATGCCCGCTCGCGCCCTGGAGGCCACGGGGCGCAAAGCGTGGGGCGTGGCGGGTAGGAGTACGCAGGCGCAGATCGTGGGAGGTGCCCGAGGCAACAGCGTCCGCGCAGGCGCGGTCCCGCCCAGGGGCGGGGCTGGCGGAGAAAGCTGCGCTGCGCACTGATCCCGGGGCGGGGTGTCTTGGTTTCCGAAGCACGTCCGCCCAACCGCACTTAGCTGACTGCTAAGACCTTTGGTGCTTGCTCAGGTATCCTATACCGGAAACCCCTAGACCCTCTTTGTCCCCCAAACAGAGACCCTGCCAGCCCTCGATTTGACTTCCTTTCCTAGTGTACGGGCGCCTCTTCTAACTTTATTGTAGCGATGTGGAAGGTGCTCAAAGCACATTGCTCGAATTGTTCAAATTCTTTGTTATATAATTCTAGAAAGTTTGTAAAATGGTTCCTAAGTCCGCAGACCAGCTGTAGGGGATCAAGGCATTAGTGAAATATGACTGCTGGCTGCCGGTACCGCCCACCTACTATGCGCCTGCGGTGTGCCAAGTTAACCCAAAGCTCAAAATCCTCCGCCATTGGAAGGGGCAAACAGGGCAACATATCACCTGGATTATGGAAGACCGCACAATCCCGAGCCCGGAAAGAGCGTCCATTCAGCAAAGGTTAGATATTATTTAGGTCTCTTGGTTATTGATAGTGCCTTACACAAGGCAGTGTGACTTAAGTTCCAAATAGGTGCCACAGAGGTCAGAAGGTATTGGATTGTTAGCTCCAAGTGACAAGAGATCATGTCAGTTTTAGTTGCTTTTAGTGAGTTTCTTGAACTTGGGAAAAATGTCAAAATTGTGTATAGTCAAAAGGCTCTGAGGGAAGAGTGTAAACAACGAAGCCTTCTGACTGTGTGGTTCACAGCAAAAAGGCCATATTTAGGAGCGCTAGCTCTGGGCTCAAACTGTCCCTTCTTAGGAGTTTAATCCAAAGCAGTCTTAATTTGATCTCAAGCAAATTACTTCATTTCTCTGGGCCTCCATCCACTCATCTGTAAAAGGAGTCTATTAATACCTACGTCATAGGGTTAAGGTTAAACACACAATGAAATACTTAGAACAGTGCTTGGCACATAGTAAGCTCTCAGTAAATATTAGCTATTACTTTATATTGATCTAAATATATCAGTCATATTCTTCAGCAAGGTATTTTAACAACAAACCACTAGCCACTTGGAAGTAGAGGCATTTACAGAAAATTGTGCGCATATCATGGTGTTCCTGGAGATATGCAGCAGTGCTGACTGGCCTCTGTTAACTTTGCCTTCATAACCTCAATACTAAATCCATCGTAAGTAAATTCTAATCATACCCTTAGAATACTGTCCATGCCCAAACCAAACAACAACAACAAAAAAACTACAAGAAACAATGAAATATATATAATCTTTCTTTCTTTCTGTTCCTTGAATGTACGTTCTCTTACAATTTTCTGTATATTGATTTTTTTTTTAAATCAAGAATACTTGGATGGCTGGACGTGATGGCTCATGCCTATAATCCCAGCACTTTGGGAGGCCGAGGCAGGAGGAATGCTTGAGCCCAGGAGTACACGACCAGCCAGGGCAACACAGCAAAACCTGGTCTCTACAAAAAAATAAAAAAACTAGCTGGGCATGGTGGCGTGCACCTGTAGTCCCAGCTACTCGGGATGCTGAGGTAGAAGGATCACCTGAGCCCAGGAGGTCAAGGCTGCCATGAACCATGATCATCGTGATCATGCCACTGCACTCCAGCCTGGGCAGCAGAGTGAGGTGAATCCAAAAAAAAAAAAAAAAAGTCAACTCCTGTTACTAATAATATATTCTGTTGATGCTTTCACTTCTCTTAATTCTGAAAGTACATTATGAAATGGCATCTCAGCAGATGGCAAGTCAGGATCAATTTCTTCTTTCGAGGTTAAACTAATACTAAGCCAGACTATTATCAAAAACATCTTCACCAAAATTAACTAGAGAGTTGGTAGTTCTCTGAAACTTGTATACATTTTATTTATTACTGTAAATACTAAAAGCACACTGAAGACACTTTAAGGTTAAGTCCCAAAACACCTATTAGGGAAAATCACTATGGGCATCCAGTCCTTTTGATTGAACCTGGGTAACAAAAGAGGCAAAAGACATGGTTTGTGATGAAACTTGCAATTCAAATGCTAAATGTTTTCAAGCTTTAATAAGGTATATACCAATTCCAAGTACCAAGCATATCAAAATTCAAATTCATGGGTTTACTCGTAATAAGCAAATTGTTCACTGAATCCTATCTTACGTTTGATTTGCACAGTGCATTCAGAGATGAGTCATAATTAGGAAAAAAAAGTCCATTGAATGCATCATGTGTAAAAATGCAATTAACATTTCAAAACCACACTTAAAAGGGAAACACCTAAAAAGTTAACTCTATTAATAAAATTATTTGAAACAATATAATCCTGCAGAGAAAAATACATTTCTTGTATATACATGTAGATTTCTACATGAAAGAAAGGATTCAGCTCCAAATAGAAAAGGGCTGATCCTTGATAAAGACATCTTAGCTTGCCAAACTGATGTGATGACCACTGTAAGAACTGAAAACAGAAGAACAAAAAGGTAAGTCAAAGGAAGGGTGAAACTTGAGTCACCTGCTCCCGAATAGTGGCAGAGTTGGGTGAGAAGCAGATGAAGGCAGAAATAAGACAAAAGAAGAAAAGCAAAGAAGGCCTCAACTCTGGAAACAAGTGGAGAATCAAGCAAGAGAACAGATACGATATAGTTGCAGTGAGATGTTTGAAACTAGAATTTGGTAGCTGATAGTGGAATCAGACAAAGCATCTAGTTTAATGGAGAATGAGTATCATAACTCGGCATGGTATCATCATTTTAAACATCTTCCCAAACAACAGTAAGTCATTAGAAGACCTTTGCATCAGATCATATTCTTTGAAGCTTAAAAAAGTCCTGACTGCGACAGCACAGTGCTGCAAAAAGAAACCCTGCTAAGATGTGTCAGTACCAAACACTTCATTTGACCCTGAACAGGCCCTGCATCTTGGATTCTTCAAAGTGAAGGGACTGAACTAGGTTTCTTCCAAGTAAAATATTCTATCATTTTGTTGACAATGAATTAAACTGAGACTGTTTAGAACAACTCCAGTTTTGGTGGGGAAGGCAAGGAGAAGTTAAGGAAGATAAAGAGACCTCACAAAAACTTCATGCAAGGTTAGAGCATTAAAGTGCTTTGTTTCCTAATTAATGCTGTATGCAGAAGCATCCTGTAAATGAAATCTGCCTAAAAGAAAAGTTCCCACATCCTCAAAAGATGAGAATGATTGCATTATCTGGGATCTGTGATTAATATGAACCACTTATTGTCTCTTCTCAAAGACTAGGTTCTTTCTTTTTTGCCTGGATCCTACACTGAAAGAGTCAAGTTAAGGATGTCTGAAGAAAATAAATTAACCTTGAAATCAAGAAGATGTTTCTGGTCAAATTTCAGACGTGTATTATTAGAAATTAATTACTGGCTCAAAGATGAAAGTAAGACCCTAAGAAGTCTATAGAGCTTATACACACACAAGTGAGTGTCACTGGTTTTTTTAACCTAGTTTTATTAAATATTGCTTCTTTGGGATGTGTTTATAACAACTCCCAGAACATTTTCATGTAAGGATTCAAAGCGGTCATATTAAAATACAGCTTCAATATAAAGTTTATCACAGTTTTACAGTATTCAAAAATGACAGACCTGCCTTAAAAAACAAAACAAAAGCCAAAAAAAAGACTATTACACCCAAAACATAAGAAAACAATTAAATAAACAAGTTTGGCATTTTTATAACTTTATAGTATAAAACAGAATATTAAATCTATTACTGGCAAGTGGACACTGATGTATTACCTAGTTTGAAATGTGTCCCATTTAAACACACTATACAAGTTCACTATACAAAAGATTGATGGTCTTTTTGATGAAAGAAGTGCACCCTGAAGCTTTGCCAGTTTAGAATAGTTAGCTCTTAAAGTCAAAAAAAAAGTCCTTTTTCTTTTTAAACTGAAGGCTGAATTCAGTTTTTTTTTTTTGTTGTTTTTGTCTCATTTGTCAGCCTTCCTGGTTTAAAAACAATAGTGTTTATGGACGCCCACCAGGGGGCAGTGTAAGATTAGCCATTAAATCACGAACAGCTGCAAATATTGTGCATTCACCTGCAACAGAGAAAAATGGTCATTAGCTATTCGCAATACAGGAAAAGATGATGTTAACACACCGGTGGGGGAAGGGGTAATTAAATCTAAAATTAGTAAGAGGTTTAAAGATCAAAATAAAAGACAATTTTAACTGCCCAGATTATAGGGGATTATGCTGTGCTGGTAAGTATCAGATTATACTTTGGTTTGGGTTTTGTTTTCTCAGGAAGATATTTTGGGCAAGTCTCAGGTCTGAATTTAAGAAGATATGCCTCGAGTTTCTATTTAGAAACATTGTAGTATTGGATAAGCCTTTGAAGTTGGGCTTTAAGGCTACTGACTGCTTATGCATTTTGGATCTAATGAAAAGATCTAGTTTATATTTATGCATTAGTTACAACTTTAGCATTAATGTTGCATGAAAAGCCAGATAAAGATGTCTATGATAGCACTGTCCAATAGAACTTTCTGTGATGATAGAAATGCTGTATATGTGCATTCTGGTTACTGGGCACTTGTAATGCAACTAGTGTGACTGAAAAGCTGAATTGAAAATTTTATTTAATTTTAATTAATTTCCATTTAAATAGCCACATGTAATTAGTGGCAACCATACTGGACAGTGCAGGTCTATGACTTCTATCAGTTTTCTCCCAAATGTCAATGAAATGGTCAACTTCTGGAGTTCAACATCAAGATTAAATTAAAAAATAAATTTTTCTTAAAAGCACTTCACGGCGCGGGGAGAAGGGCAGCGATTGGTGTGGGAGGAGGGAGGGAAGCTGAAGTATGATGCACCAACAATTCCAAAACAAGATTTGTTGGTAGGGAGGGTGCTGACGATTCATCCTCTCAATGTCCCCTTAGCTCAAAGAAACGAAATACTCTGCCCCTCACTTCTTTTAAATATTACAAATATGTAAATATTATAAACCAAAAGCTGGATCCCTTCTACTAGAGCATGAACTAACGCTACAGTGGCTGAAAGTAGGAGAACTGAAGATGTCATGCAAATCATGGCCTTCCCACAAGGGGCAGGATGTGTAGTGATCCTGTGCAAGTTACTGCCAACCTTCTCCCCAACCCCTAGAAAATTAAGGTACAGGAGAAAAAAAGGAAATCCAAAGGTTTGCCCAGCCCAAGGGAGAAAAAAAAAAGGGAAGACACCTTCAAAATACCTCAACAATTTCTTAAATAAGTGATTTACAAAAAACATTTTCATTATTGATAAGTAGAAAAACTTGCTTGATCCCAATAGGATCAAAACATTTCCCCTTTAATTTTAAAATTCCACAAGACAATACATAAAAACACATAATAAGATAATGACAGTCATCTGCTTGTGAAGGAATGGTATTTATTAACAAAGTTCTACTGGAATGCTACTTTGAGAATTCTGATGGTTTTACACTTTGATTCCTGAGGACCTATTTTTAGCTGAAAGAAGAGAGAAGTCAAAGGATGAAAGCAGAAAATTGTAAGAAGTAGAAGTATTACAACAAAAGAAGCATACCCTTCTCTACTGCCCAGTGTATTCCTTATAAACTAAAGTGAGAACTGGCCTACGTATACAATATGAGGAAACAAAAGCTAAAAATATCATTTCTCTCATGATTCCTATTTGTAGTAAAAATTTGACACTGTTGTACCTAAAAATGTTTCAGAGAACAACTTTCCCTCATTTAAAGACATAACTGTTATCAGACTATTCTAAACAGAGAAATATAGAGAACTTCCTTAATATTAAAAATAAGCAAAGTTTAAAGTAAATTTAAATTTATTAATATTAGAAATGAGCAAAATGGAAGAAAAGTTCTCTTTGCTGAACTTTGTTTTGTAACCCCAAATTTAGCACTGCCAGGAGTTACATGTTAAGCACAGGCTACTCCAATACTGCGGGAACCTTGTTTATCTTTCTAGAAGCATTCTGGTTTCCTCGGAAATGTTCAGTTTGAGAGCTTCATTGTGCACTTGGTGAAAAGGTTCACTTGCACCCGCCTGACACTTATATAAGAAGCCCAAAAAAGCAGTAATGCCATTTGTATCAGCCTTTATTCTTCACAAAACATTTAGAAGATACAGAATTTTTCATGATATTACTCTATTCATGACTGAACCATGAAATATGAGAAATCAACATGCATTTCAATTTTGTAATGTACAGAGTGGCAGGTATTGATGGTAGGGCAGGAATTCACAGCCATGGAAAATTCTATCATCCTAACCTAGGGCTTTGTGGCAATGTGGACTATAAATACAAGCTTCTGGCATTAGCAACTGGGTCAATCCCAATAGTAAATCACTAACAAAAATAAAGTCCAGGCAGCAGAGAAATGGACAAAAATGAAGAACCAATGAGAAAGGAAGAAAGCGACAAGCAGACATTAAGAGGGCCACAGCAACCAGAGCTCTATACTAGGATTGGGAGTGAAGTGGGTAAGGAGGGAGAAGAAGAGAGGAGAAGGGGTGTCTCTCAAAAGAACTTGTATAACATATATGCAATAAAATATTGTCTACTGGTCATGTACCTTGTCGTGGTGGATTCATCTCTGCAAATCTCTTCAGAATGTTGCTGACCATCATGGGAGCAGCAACTGAAGAGTTCTGCTGTCTGGGAATGTCTGCCTGCTGGGTGGTACCTGAAGCCATGTCATAAATGATTGGAACTATAATACTAACAGGTTCTTGGGGAGGGACCGATGTTTTCTGCGTTAGTTGAAGCTGCAGACATACAACACACACACAAAGAGAATAAAATTATAATAAAACATTTGTTTAAATGTAGCAAAGGTACTATCATTTACTATATGTTCAGATTAAGATATAGCAAGGGGCTGGGCTCAGTGGCTCAGCCTGTCATCCCAGCACTTTGGGAGGCTGAGGCGAGTGGATTGCCAGAGCCCACAGGTTCGAGACCAGCCCGGGCAACTTGGCAAGACCTCGTCTCTACAATAAATCAAAAATTAGCCAGTTGTGGTAGTGCGCGCCTGTAGTTCCAGCTACTTGGAAGGCTGAGGCGGAAGGATCGCCGGGGCCCAGCAGGTCGAGGTGGCCATGAGTATGCCACTGCACTCCTGCCTGGGCGACAGAGTGAGACTCCAACTCAAAAAAAAAAAAAAAGAAAAGAAAGATACAGCAAGGAAAAGAAAAACATGACAAGTGACAAACAACTGAATATTATGGTTAAGATGCAAGTGTGTCACAGAGTTACCTAGTTCAATAAGTTTCTATTACTAAAGGAACCAGGATTCCAAAAAGTCTAGACAATTAAAGGAATCCTGGCCCATATTTGGCAGCAACAGATACTATATGCAGTTATCCAAAAGCTGTTCTATCACCCTGACATAGCTTTTCTTCACAAGCTCTGTACACACAAAGATGCTAAGTAGTACTTACAAAAAATAACATTTTAGATTTCAGCACCACAGCAGGTGTCCCAGGAGGTGCAATCGGTGGTGCGCTGGGAGGGATCGTCAGGCAAAACTGAACGTTCCATTTCAGCTGTGTTGCCTGGTCAGGGAACTGTTTTTGGGGGGAAAAAAGTCAAAATAAAGGCATATAAACATTTAAAATCATATTCTAATATAGCAGTCTGAAAGGTCAGAATTTTATGTTACACCCAATTTACATAACAAAGTTAATAACGTGCACTTTTTCAAAAGAAATATATACATGAAGTTGCTAACTGCAAAGTCAACTCTGGATATATCTAAGATTTTCCTTCTTCCCTCTCACTTTATTAATTCCCAAGGATTAATTAATACCCTATGAATTTGGCTGTTGTGGTGTCTCTGACACCTATTCCCTCCTCTCTATTTTCACTGAGGCCACCAAGCTCAACTCAGGGTTTCATTACTTCTGTAGTCACTTCAAATGGCTGCCAGCTCCAGACCATCCTTATACTGCTGTCAGACACATGCCCTAGAACATGGTTCTAATCTAGCTCAAATGTTTAGTGATATGTAGTGACATGTGCTGTCCTCCCCAGCCCCAACTAAGGACCAAACCCTGGTATTCAAGGCCCTTCTTAACTGGTACCAATCTAGACCTTCCAGTTCTGTTTCTAAGTCCTTCACTTAACAAGTCAAATTGTGTTAATGATTGCAAGTTCTATCCACCGGTGCTTTTTTAGCCACATAAATATTTATTCCTTTAAAAACTCAACTGAATTTCCTTTTGACATGAATGTTTCCTACAGCCTATCAGATCGGAAGCCAAACGTGGAGACTATTAGCAAAAGAACATTGCTTCCTCAATATTAACAGTAAAACACCAACCTAAAGAAAGAGTGAGGTACTTGAAGCTACTCAAATCAACATCAGAAACACTGAAATGAAATGACTACTAGAAGATTGAAAAAATATAATTAGCTGCCACTTGGATTCCATCTATATTATATACTTTCACAGGAAAGAAGAATTAAAAATCTCCCCCAAACAGAAGATTTTTCAATAAACAGGCATCTGAAAAAGTTGGATCAATACTTCACATATGACAGAAAAATTAATTCTAAATGGATCAAAAATTTAAATAATTAAAAAAAGAAATCCATCATAGTATTACAAGAAACTATAGGATGATTATTTCAAAATTTGGGAGTGAGAAGCATCTTTCTAACAATGACACAAAGCCAAGAAGGCTTAAAAGCCAATACTGACACATTTCACTGTTTATTAAAAAGAAAATTTTGTATAGCTTAAACCTACCAAAAGTAAAGTCAAAACACAAACGACAAATTAGGAAAAATTATTTACAACTAATATCTCCAGGCCCTAACTCCCCCTACAAATCAGAAGTCCTAAAAATTATACAAATCAGAAAGACCCCAAATCTAAAGACTGATGAAACCATTAACAAAGATGAGGGAAAGCAGGTACTCTCATAAATTACTGATGGGAATAGACACTGGCATATAACTTCTATGGAGAACAATTTGGCAATATCTACCAAAATTACAAGTATACCCATTCGCTGACCCAGCAATTTTACAGGCATACTGGCACATCTGTACAAAGGCTCTTTATTATCAAACTGCAAGGCGAAATATTAGAAAAACCCAAAACGATCATCTAGAAGGGACTACTTAGCCATTTTAATACATTCATATAGTGAAACACTAAGTTTTGTAAAACATATCAAAAACACCTTTTATATACTGATATGGTAAGATCTCCAAGATCTGTTCTGTGAACCAAAGCCAGATGCTCCTCTATTTCAAGAATATGTCAAGCTAGATATCCTGGAAATTATTTCTACCACAAACACTAAAAAATATTGGGAGTGGGGAGATATCTTTTTAAATGCTGTTATGAGCCGGGCTCGGTGGCTCAGCCTGTAATCCTGTGCCTTTGGGAGGCTGAGGTGAGTGGATTGCCTGAGCCCGCGGGTTCGAGACCCGCCTGGGCAGCGAGACCTCATCTCTACAATAAATCAAAAAATCAACTGGGCATTGTAGCGCATGCCTGTAATTCCGGCTACTCAGAAGGCTGAGGCAGAAGGATCGCCGGAGCCCAGCAGGTCGAGGCTGCGGTGGCCGGGAGCGGCCACTGCACTCCAGTCTGGGCGACAGTGAGACTCCAACTCAAAAAAAAAAAAAAATGCTGTTATGGGTTGAATTGTGCACCTGAAAAAGATATAAAGTCCTAACCCCCAGTACCTATGAATAGTACTATCTGAAAACAGGGTCTTTGCAAATAATCAAGTCAAGATGAGGCTATTAGGATGGGCCCTAATCCAATAAGGCTGTTGTCTTTTATAAGAAGAGAAGAGACACATAACGGGGAGAACACTATGTGATGACAGACAGAGACTGCAGTGATGAGTCTATAGCCAAGGAACACCAAGGACTGCTGGCACCACCAGAAGCTAAGAGAAAGGCATGGAACAGATTCTCCCCTAGACTCTTCAGAGAGAACACAGCCACAGACACTTCGAGTTAGGATTTCTGGTCACCAAAATGGTGAGAGAACCCATTCCTCTTGTTTTAAGCCACCTGGTTTGTGACAGTTTGTTATAGCAGCCCCAGAAAGAAAACAAATGCAGACTGAAGGTGGACGCAGTGGCTTATGCCTGTAACCCCAGGACTTTGGGAGGCAGACGTGAGAGGACTATCTGAGCCCATGGGTTCGAGACCAGGCTGGGCAACATGGTAACACCTTGTCTCTACAACAAATCAAAAATTAGTTAGGCATGATGGCACACGCCTGTGGTTCCAGCTATCAGAAGGCTGAAGTGGAAAGATTGCCTGAGCCCAGTAGGTTGAGGCTGCAGTAGCCATGAGCCTGCCACTGCACTCCAGCCAGGGCGACAGTGTGAGACTCTGACTGAAAAACAAAATAAAACAAAAAGAAAAATAAATGTAAGCCGGGCTCGGTGGCTCAGCCTGTAATCCCGCGCTTTGGGAGGCTGAGGTGAGTGGACTGCCTGAGCCCATGGGTTCGAGACCCACCTGGGCAACTTGGCGAGACCTCATCTGTACAATAAATCAAAAAATCAGCTGGGCATGGTAGCGCGTGCCTGTAATTCCGGCTACTCGGAAGGCTGAGGCAGAAGGATCGCCGGAACCTAGTGGGTCGAGGCTGCAGTGGCCGCTACATTCCAGTCTGGGCAACAGAGTGAGACTCCAACTCAAAAAAAAAAAAAATTAAATGCAGACGGAGCTATACAGAAACTAAGGGAAGGGCCAAAACAACCCAAAGCAGATATCCAGTGCTCTGAAGGCAACTGCTGCCCATGGAGCACACTGACATGTATGACTCAGCACTTCAGTTTTAACAGTTATTCAGAGGACATAAAGTCTAGGATCAACAAAGGTGGGGAATCAGATTTTTAAAAATTAATGTTATAAAATTGTAAACTATTTCATAACACCAATAGAAAAAAGTACAAAACAGGATGTGTAAATAATATCACTTTGTTTTAAAAGTTTATGAGAGATATATTTGCTTCTATGAATGGACCATCTGAGAGGAGAGACCAGCCAAGGGTAACTGGCTAGACAGAGATAGAAGAGACAGGAATCGCTAGACAGAGACTGATGGGAAATTTCTCACTGTGTCCTGTTTAACTTCCAAAGTTACAACAGAATTATGTTACCTATTCAAAGGCAAATACAATTTAAGTTAAAAATTAAAAATACATGAGAAAAATGGAAGTACCCAAATGGATACAAACCAATTCTAACTCCTCAAATACAACTTGCCAGAAAAGTATGTGTTTTTCTGTAACTTACCAGCTCCAGCTTCATAATGTGCACACAGTCCCTGAGGATGTGTGTAGGAGCTCCTAACAGCTTGGTGAAGGCTATTAACGTATTAGCTTTAAATGGTGGTCCTGCAACCTACAGGGATAAATAAAGCAAGTTACTCTTCATTCTATCTTGATGCTTCTGTTTCATTCATTATATTTAAATTATGCATTATTATACACATACTCTCGTTTCAAAGAATTTCTCCAAAACTTGAAGTTCATCAGGTTTCCACTGTCCTGCATTTTCAGGTGTCACTTTTAGCTGAAGTGTTTGGTTGGTTTTGGGACTAAGGGCTACTCTGCATTTCAGTGCATCAGTCTTAAACATGATCACTCCGGGTTCATTGGAATTTATCAGCTGCAGCTGCAATACAAGGACACATCAAACTAATAGTAAGTCAAAGACAAAATGAACATGTTACCGAGAGAACTGTTTCAAAAGGAAAACAACCAAGTTGATATTTGTCCTAAACAAAGACACCAAGGCAATTAGCATCAACTGCTATCATATTACAAAAAGAGACACAATCAGACATTAGGTGCCTCTGGATAGAAGAACATAACACTACCTATGAAATATTCTTGCAAAACAACAACAAAGAACTTGAGCCTAAATTTATTCAGTAGCTTGATCCAGAGGACTGACCAATGTGATTAAAAAAGGGGGGGGGTTAAAAGAACATTATAAATTATTAAAAAGGGAGTGGATCAGCAAAGTTCAGACTGAAAAACTCCACAGGACAAATGACTTGATTTCTTCAAGAAAAAAACCGTGTAAAGCAAAAGGAGAAATAGAGGGAGGAACCAATAGTTTAAAGGGGATTTAAAAAAAAAAAAAACTTATTCAGGTTCTGTTCAACTTATTCAGGTTCTGTTCAGACTGTAAAAAAATGAGACAACTTGGGAAATCTGGATATCAACTAGATATGTGATGATAATTTTTTTTTAGGTGTGGGAATGGTACAGATTTTTTTTTTTTTTTTTTGAGTTGGAGTCTCACTCTGTTGCCCAGACTGGAGTGCAGTGGCCGCTCCCAGCCACTGTAGCCTTGACCTGCTGGCTCTGACGATCATTCCACCTCAGCCTTCCAAGTAGCTGGAACTACAGGTGCGTGCTACCACGCCCAGCTCATTTTTTAAAATTTATTGTAGAGATGAGGTCTCGCCAAGTTGTCCAGGCAGGTCTTGAACCCGCAGGCTCAGGCAATCCACTCACCTCAGCCTCCCAAGGCGCGGGATTACAGGCTGAGCCACTGAGCCCAGCTCCAGATTTTTTAAAAAAATAGAATCCATACCTTTTAGAGATGCAAAAGTTTTAGAGATGAAATTATGTATGGGATTTGCTGTGAAACAATCTGGGAGGAGGAATTATAGATAAACAATATGGGAATGAGTCAATTGTTGGAGGTGGCTGAGGAGAGCATAGAGGTTCATTACATGATTCTATTTTTGTATATACTAAACAATTTCTACAATAAGCTTTTAAAAAGATGGCACATTATTAAAACAAACAAAAAAAGAATAACCTTTTGTACAATTACAAAAGGTCAGATCTGGATTGGGCCTTTATTCCAGCCGAGAGGTTGCCAAACATTTTCTGTAAAGGGTTAGATAAAGTCGATGCTTTATGGGCTATATGGTCTCTGTCACAACTTCTCAGTGATGCCACTGTAGCTGAAAGCAGCTACAGACAACACATAAAACTATTTACAAAAACAGGCGGAGGGCAGGACATAGCCCCAGGGTCTATAGTTTACCAACCCCTGTTCTAGCCAAGTATGTTGATTATACAGCTGAACACAATGAAGATCAAAGAACTAAAAGCTTACATGGATTAGGAGTGGCAGAGCTGAGGCTAGATACCAGGTCTGATGATTCATCATTTTGAAGGCTAATTTTATTCAACATATGTTAAGCTTTTTTTTTTCAAACCTGAATTTAAAGGTTACAAAATGGCTCCATACCAACTGTGAAGTGCATATTTTAAACATTCACCATTCTGACTATCTCATTAATACATACATATACCAATAATAACAATAATTATAAATAATGTGTATTGAATGCCAAGACAATATGCTAAGGGTTTTGCATGAAATATCTCAAATTCCCACAGCTGTTATCAGTTAGGCAGATATCATTATCTGCTATTATCAGAAAGATGAAGAAATTTGCCCAAATGCTAGCAGGTGGTATTGAAAGACGGTGGCGCGCAGTGAGACTCAACACCCTTTAAGGCCAAGAGATTTAATGGGGATGAGCGCGGTGACTACAGAACCTGAGAATCAGATTGCAGCATGGAGGCAGGGGTATGGCAGATTTTATAGAAATTTAAAGCAACCTGGTCGGCTACCTATTGGTCGGCAGGTGAGGTATTTTTGGGATTGGCAGGGGGTTTCACGGGTGCGGGAACGGTGGGCTTTGTTGTGGAAGAAGAACCCTTTGTTGTGGAAGAAGAACCCGGAGAGCCTTGTCCGAGCCTCCATGTTAGTTTGTCCGGGCGCCTTCTTAGGCGGGAGCGCCATTTTAGGTGGGGGCCACGCCTAGGCTTAGCCTTTGGAGGGGGCGGGTTCCTCGTGGCTGGCTGGGGCCTTTCAGGTATGGCCTGAATATCAACCCAGCACCATGACTCTAGAATTGGTGCTCTTGACTGTGAACTCTCTCTCCCAAGGGCATCTGCCACAGAATAGAAGTCTTTTTCTCTAAGAGTTTTTAAAAATTCAATTTTCATGTATTTAAAAAGCAACTTTCATCCTTGTGATCATAAATAATTATATTTCAGTGAAGATTCGGATTCAAAGGCAAGGGCACTCCAGAGGCCAAATAGTTACTCATCTGCTATTCTCAGCAAATACTGTGGTGGCCTATCTCCAGGTACATGTTAGCCATATAACATGGAAGCTACAGCACAGTGAGGACAAACTCTGACCATTCTTTACTTCTACCCAAATTCCTAACTAAGAGGTCTGGGGAGTCATACTCTACAAACCATAAAGTCTCATCAGATGGATTTTTATTAACCCTATAGAATGTAGCTTACTTTCCAACCTGACTCTGGCATAATATCGCATAATAGATAAATAAGTAAATAAAAAATATTTTATGATCCTGCAAAGCTATCTCTTGGAAAAATCTGCATCTGTATAGAAGTTCCTTCCTGGGGATTCCTGGAGCCAGACATCTTTTAAAACATTTGTCACCTATTCTCTCTAAGGGCTGCCACCTAGGCGGCTTCATCTACATATCAAAAACTTTGGCTTCCTCAATACCCCCTTACCTTAACTCAGCATTTCCTTTACTGATTTCAAATTCTTTAGATAGAGTTTAACCCTTTCTACCAATTGCCAATCATAAAATCTTCTAATCCCTCCCCCACTTGGAGATGTCTCACCTTCCCAGGGCCAGTCAATGTAAATCTCACATGTATTGATTTATGTTTTGCTTGTTATTTCTGTATCCCTAAAAATGTATAAAGTCAAACTGTAAACTGACCATTTTGGGCACATGTTCTCAGAACTTCTTGGGACTGTGACATGGGCCTAAATCACTCACATTTGGCTCAGAATAAACCTCTTTAAATATCTTACAGAATTTGGCATTTTCGTTAACAACAGCAAAGTGTAAAATGCAGAAATATGTTAACGTAAGAATAGAAAATGAAATAATGGAGTCCAGACGGGCTCGGTGGTTCAGCCTGTAATCCCGCGCTCTGGGAGGCTGAGGTGAGTAGATTGCCTGAGCCTGCGGGTTCGAGACCCACTTGGGCAACTTGGGGAGACCTCATCTCTACAATAAATCAAAAAACTAGCTGAGCATGGTAGCGCGTGCCTGTAGTTCCAGCTACTTGGAAGTCTGAGGCGGAAGGATCGCCGGAGCCCGGCAGGTTGAGGCTGCAGTGGCCGGGAGCGGCCACTGCACTCCAGTCTGAGTGACAGAGTGAGACTCCAACTCAAAAAAAATAAATAATGGAGTCCATTTTTAATACTAGGGCAATGAAAAGTATAATTCAAGCTGGTTAAAGGAGGTGAGGGAATGTCACATTACTTCAGATTCTATCTTGTAGGACAATTTAGCATCTTGTCCTTGACAGTCACCACACAGAAGGTCACTAGGTACCCATACCGTTTCTTGTTGAATAATTCTTTGAAGATGTCGTCTCATGATGACAGATCCAAGGAATCTCTCAAGTGGAGAACAAAGGTAACTACCTGCCAGGCCAGGCACAAGGCCTGGTGTTGGAGAGGGCAGCAGTAAAATGTTCAAGGCACTGTGAGTGAGGATGGTAGGTATGGATGCCGCCCAAGAGCGCTGAGGTAGTTTACGAGGAGGAGGCATGTTTGTTGGCATTGTTTGAGAACCTTTTGGGAAGGAAAACATGTTATTTCATTTATAAATACACACTATTTCCTGTTTTGCTTTCATTACAAGTCTCTGATATTCTACATCAATTCATACTCTATTAGTTACTCCCTGTGATGTAACTAAAATCATATATTAACACCCAGCTAGCAAAAACAGCCACAAGTATTCTTCTCCTTGTATTCAGGCCCCTTGCAAGGTGACCGCAGCAACTCCCTCAGGGGGTAGAGTCTATTTCTCCACCTGGAATCTGGCTGGCCTTGCAACTTACTTCTGGCTAACAGAACAACAGAATGAGGTGGAAGCGACACAGGGCTAACTGTAAGTTTAGGCTGCCACTCTCTAAGAACCCTGTCCAGCCACCATGTGAACAAATTCCTAATCAAGTATGAGACCCACTCAGAGCAGAGGGAAACTTTGTCACCCAAGGCCATCTTAGATCAGCTGGTCCCTAGCTACCCAGTAGCTGACACATGAGTGAGCCCAGAAGAGCCTGAAAGAATCACCCAGTTTTGCTTAGCCCAAATTACTGAGCTGCAGAATTGTGAACCAATATGATTGTTGTTTTAAGCCACTATAAGTTATATAGCAAAAACTAACCAATACATTTGGACAATTCTCTTCTGTGTTAATTTGTGTGATATTGTGAAATATCATATTTGATCTTTGTCCTATCTCCTCACATACAAATCCTAAAATCCCTGGAATCTTAAAAGAGAGAAAGTTTTTTGTATGCTAACAAGACGACTGATGGTTGGCAACCCCTAGGTAGTTTCAGGATGTGGGCTGATCATAGGAAAGGCAAGGAATGATTAGAGGGTTGGGAATTTCAGTCTCACCCCTCAACCTCCAGGTAGGGGTGAAGGGTTGAAAGTTAAGTTGGTCACCAATGGCCATTGATTTAATCAATCATGATTACATGTTGAAGTCTCCAGGCCTCCACAGAAACCCAAAAGGACAAGGTTTTAGAGAACTTCCAGACAGCTAAAAACGTGGAGGTTCCTGAAGGGTGATACACCCACAGAGGACACAGTAGCTCTGCACTTCTTATGCATCTGTTCATCTGTATCCTTTGTAATATCCTTTTTTTCCAGGGCCAAGTCTCACTCTGTTGCCCAGTGGCACACTTACAGCTACCGCAGCCTCTACCTGCTGGGCTCAGGTGATCCTTCTGCCTCAGCCTTCCAAGTAGCTAGAACTATAGGCACATGCCACCATGCCCGGCTATTTTTTTTTTTTTTTTAATTGTGGAGACAAGGTCTTGCCAAGTTGCCCAGGCTCGTCTCAAAACCCTGTGCTCAGTCAATCCACTTTCCTCCACCTCCCAAAGTGCTGGAATTACAGGCATGAGCCACCACGCCCTGCTGTAATGTTCTTTACAATAAACTAGTAAATGTGTTTCCCTGAGTTCTGAGAGCTGCTCTAGCAAATTAACCGAACCCAAGGAGAGGTTGGTGGAAACCCTGATTTGTAGCTGGTGGTCAGAAACACAGGTAAAACAACCTGAGGCATCTAAAGTGGGGGCAGGCCTAGGGACTGAGCCTATGGGATCTGGCACTATCTCCAGGTAGATAGTGTCAGAATTAAATTGAATTGAATTGGAGGTTACTCAGCTGGTGTCTACTATGGAACTGATTGGTTGTTGGTAAGAGGAAATCTCCACATACTTCTTGGCAACCAGAGGTTAGAGGAAAAAGTTTTTGTCTATAATTTGCATAACCTTGTCAGTTACTTAAGATAGTAATCAAGATATATACTGGGACTCAATTCTGGAGTAGATATCCCCCCTTAGGTTTCACCAGACTTTGCAAATTGTTGTTAACTGACTTACTAAATGGATAAAAGTTGAAGTTATTAAGGATTCCCACTCAACAAGTAGGTCACGGCTTTCAAATGTGAGGATGGAATAAAATAGGTCACTTTTGGGTTATACTAAAAAAAGAACACAAAAATGTCAATGATACTTACTTGTTCCGGCTCGAGGGGAATGAGAAGCATCTGGAACTGGAGAATGTAGTGATGGATTGGCTGGTGACATTCCAGGCATGCGTGTGGCGGGTGAGGGGCCAGACACCTGCGGAGACCCTGGCCAGTTCCCTGCTCGTCCACTTGGTGACACCATAGTGTACGGGGAACTAGGGTCAAGAGTTCCTATAAGAGAGTAAAACAATTCTTAAAACTTGTATTTTAATAACTGAAAATTATTTGACAACATTCAAATCCTTACATAGTAGTAATTTTATTTTTTATTTAATAAGATGTTTCACTGAAGTTTGATGCTTAAAGTAGTTAATGTATTTTTTAACATGATACAAGAATTAGAAAAATAAAAAGACTGAAAAAGGATCAAATTTACCTTCACACAAGCTTCAACATATGTAATATGTAACAGTCTACCTTATGCTATTATATGCTTGGAAATGCTAAGCAAGCAATCTCAAAGCTCCTTTAAGGGCAAAAAAAGTATACTTTTAAACCCTGACAAACTGTATTTTCATTCTACTCAAAGAAAGATGAAGAGAGGGAAACTTTCCATAACCCTTATTTAGTAAAAGCTATACTAAAAAATGAACCAAGAATCAAGTTTTCAAAGTAGCAACTTCTACAACTTGACATTTAAATTTCATCCTGCAGATACCTTCAACATACTATTTATATACCTTTGTAAACAAATGACAAACTGAGAAGATACTTCTACCATATATTGGAGTTTTTATTTATTTTTTTAAAAGTCTTATAAATGGTTAAAAAGCAAAAAGCACAAGAACACAGGCAAAGCAGGTATAAAACAAGAAAGAACAATGACTCAAAAAAAAAGAAAGAAAAAAGAAAAAAGTTCAACTTCATTAATAATAAAAAAAATACATTAAACACTAAGGTGCCACCTTTCACCCATCCAAATGGTCAATATTTTAAAAATTCATAATACCCCATGCTGGCATGCTGGCAATGATGCAGGACAACAGATATTCTTATATGAGGCTATAGGAAATTGGTACAGCCTTTCAGGCGAGCAATTTGCAACATGTTTGGAAAGCTTTAGAATTTCTCAAACCCTTTGAGACAGCAATTCCACTTCTAGGAATTTACCTAAGAAAATAATCATGGATGTGAGCAGAGACGGCACCATTTTTAATTAGAAAAAATGGAAACATTCTAAATGTATGACAATAAGAGGGCAGTTAAAACATGGTATGCCCAGACAAGGGAATACTATGAAGCCATTTAGTATGATGATGCAGAGTTTTTAACTGATACAAATATTCCCACAAAAATTAATCGTAAAAAGTAAAATCAGATGCTACATAGCTTAAAAAACTGAGGATGTTCTTTATGTTTTAATATGGCATGACATTCATAATATACTAAGTGGAAAAGAGCAAGGTACTGAACATCATGTACAGTATGCTACCATGTGTGTAAAAGGGGAGGAAGAACACTTAAATTTGCTTGTATATACATAAAACAGCTCTGCAAGAATAAGAAATCAATAACACTCTATCTCTGGGAAGAGAAACTAGGTGGTTGGTGGAATAAAAAGGAAACATCTCACTGACTACCTCTTATTCTTATCTACTTAAGTCAATTCAAAATAACATTTCTTAAGTTAAAAAATTCAAGCATCAAAACGATTCACATGGTAGGGTACCCATTTGGGTGGAACAAAGCATAGGGAGTATCTGATGGGAAGACAAGCTGATGGGTAGAGAGCAAGCAAGAGCAACAGAAATGTGAGAGGCCAGGCAGGCAGGGAGTACGTGACAGGAAGCACAAGGCAGAGCAAGGGAGAGAGAGGGAAAGTCCAAAGTCGAGATAGACTAACTGGTCATTACATTACCTCTGCATGGTGGGATTAGAAAAAAATTTTCTTTCTGCTTGAGCACCACTTTTGCTATTTCCTCAATAAACAAGTGCTAATTTTGCAACAAGAAAATTCATTCAACAAAAACTATTTTCACATCAAGCTCTTATGCTATAGCGATTTCCATGTATGGACTCACCATGTGGACTAGCAAAACTGGTCCCTGGTCCTATTGAGATTCCATGCGAGGATGGGGGAGGAGTTGGAACAAATGACGCTGGTGATGGGGCTCTCAAGGCCCCACTGGGGGAGCTGGCAGCATGCAGATTTCCTAATAAAGGAAAATAATTATAGATGATCTTGCAGGACACATATTATGTCCTGTCCAAAGACCCCAAGTTAAAAATCTCCCTACAGACTAAAGAAACAAGTAGTAAAGCTCCCATAAATACTGCAAAGAAAAACTAGAAAGATTTCATTATCAAAAGAGTGCTCAACTCCATTGGCCCAAATGCTTTTTACATTGACTGACTGAAAAAAATATGTATCTGGTGTACTGTTTTATATACTCACTTACTCATTCAACAAGTAGGCCTGGATGCCAACTTCATGCTAAGCACTGTTCTAGGCACTGGGGATGCAGCAGTTAACTAGAGAGACAAAAATTTCCTGTACTCTGAAGCTTATAGTAGAATGAGAAAGAGGAACAAATACATGTCAAGTAGTGATAAGTGCCATGGAGAAAATATGGCAGGGTAAGGCAATATTGTGTAGTGATGGAGGTGGGTACTGTTCTTTACATACAGCAATGAGAGAAGACCTCTCTAAGGAAGGGGACATGTGAGCCGAGACATGATAAAGGATAAGGTACAAGTATATCCAGGGGATAAAATACTCCAGACAGATACAGAACTAGTACAAAGACCCCAAAGGTAGAAGCAGTGATAAATAACAGGAAGGAGGTTGGAGTGGCAGGATTGGAAAAGAGAGCAAGGGGGTGGAGCCAGTGGGAGGAGAGGAGACCAGAGAGGTGGGAGTGGGGGAGGTCCCAGATAGGCCACTCTAAGGACGGAATGAGTGGGAAGCCAATGCAGAGTGGAGGAGTCATGGACTAATTTCTGTCCCTAAAGGATCATTCTAACTGCTGTGCGACAGACTATAGAGCAAGGGTGGGGGGAAGGGACGGAAAACTAGTTAGAGATGACTGCAATTACCCAGGTGAGAGAAGACTAGTAGCTTGGGTAAGGGGTGACAGAGGCTAAGGTAGTGAAAAGTGGTTGTATTCTAGGTAAATTCTGAAGACTGCCAACAGTATTTGGTAAGTGACTGACTGAGTGTGAAAGAAAGAGACAGTCATCAGCATTACTCTAAGAGCTTTGGTTCAAGTAGCAGGAAGGAAGGGACTGCCATTCACTGAGCTGCGGTGTCTGTGGCAGGAGCAGCACGGAGGATGAGGGGTCAGCAGTTTAGTTTTGGCCATGCTGGGTTTTCAGGTATCTACTAGACATTACTTGGAAATGCTGAAAAGATAGCTAGAAAATATAGGACTAGAGTTCAAGGGAGAGGTCTAAATTGGAGATATAAATGTATTTAAAGCCCCTGGACTAGTCTGTTTGCTTTTAGTTTTGTTTGTTTGTTTTTAGTCCCAACTCACTCTGGGGTCTCACTCTGTCGCCCAGGCTGGAGTGCAATGGCAGGATCATGGCTCACTGCAGCCTCCACCTCCTGAGCTCAGGTGACTCTTCTGCCTCAGCCTCCTGAGCAGCTGGGACTATAGGTGCGTGCTACCACACCTGGCTAATTTTTTAATCTGTTGTAGAGACGAGGTCTCACTATGTTGCCCAGGCTGGCCTCAAAATTTTGGGCTCAAGTGATCCTCCATCCTCGGCCTCTCAAAGTGCCAGGTTTTACAGGCATGAGCCACTGCACCCAGCCAATGACTAGTTTTAATTTAGGATTATGAAAGGCTACCAAACTATGGCTACCAAAACCACAAATAAATACATTTAAATCCTTGCTACATTACTATAACTATCTTCAAAATCAGCAGTTTCAAATTCTCTACTACAGTAGTTCCACCTTATCCACAGAGGATACATTCCAAGACACCTAGTGGATGCCTGAAACCTTAGACAGTACGGAACCCTATTTTTCCCTATACATACATACAATAAATTTTAATTTATAAATTAAGCACAGTTAGAGATGAACAATAACTAATAATAAAATAGCACAATTACAATAATAGACTATAATAAAAGCTAATGCAATGTGGTCCTTCTCTCCCCCCCGCTCCCCCCAAACATCTTATTGTACTGTACTTACCTATTTAGGACCGCAGTTGACCTCGGGTAACTAAAACTTCAGAAATCGATAAGGGGGGACCACTGTTCTACGTGAGATAATTTCATGTTTTTATGTTCTGTAATATCTAAAGCAATGCCTTACGTTCAATAAATATGTTGATCAGCTTGACTAACCTTTAAGTGTGTATATATACTTATTTAGCTGTATGAGCTGGACAAGTGACTTAACTTCTCCATGCCTCAGTTTTCCTCCATAAAATGGGGATAATAACAGGACTACACCACAGGTTTGCTGTGAGGATTAAATGGGTAAAGTACTCAGAATTTGAATTGGCACTACAGTAAACACTATATACTTGTCTGCTACTATAATTATTTAAAAATAATTCTTTTTCCTTCCTGCTATACAAAAGCAATCTCAACTCATATCCTAGAAACACACTTTTATGGGGTTATATGACCCCGTTTCTCCTGTTTGCCTACTTCCTCCCTAGCTACTCCTTTACCACTGACCACTGGTGCTCCTAGGGGCTGATCTCACCCACCCACTTGAACTTCAGTGACTTTTTTCATCCAGGGAAACAAGAATAGTCACTGGGGGTGAGGCTGGGTGAACAGGGAGAGTTGGGCATGGGGGTCATGGTGTTTTTGGTCAAAAGTTGCTGAACACTCAGCATGGTGTGGGCAGGTGTGCTCATAAATCACCCATCATGAAATGGGCAAATGCATCGAAAGACCTACAAAAAAATTCACTAAAGCAGAACACAACCTCTCACAACAATGCTAGCTGGTACAATGATGCCGATGGGCACTTACCTAGTGGGGGAAGCCTGTACTACAAGGGGCCCGCCCTCCAAATGATAATTCTGGTTTTTCGGGGGTCCCCTCTTGTACATTCATACATAAAGATTTTTTAGTACTTTATAAAGGAGAAAAATACATGCTGCAAACTCTGTTTTTCAAAGTGAAAAGTTAAAAACAAATGTATTTGTTGGTTTGTCACTTACAAATCAAGATTTTACGTAGTTTTGTTTGTCCTGTTTTCTGAAGTCCAAATGTCTTCAATTGGTAACAAAACTACCTATGCATTCTGTACTTGATTGTACTGATATATTTATAGTAAATAAAAGGCTTTTAATTCCATACACACTTTTAAAAATTATTTAATTTCTTATATTTTACATTTCATATTACATATCACATCTTTTATGTTAAAATTTTTTTAAAGAAAACATTATGCTCTGGAGATAGTACTAACGCAGGATAGCTTAAGGATGGGAACTAGCTGGCAAGGGGTCATTTCCCCCAAGAAATCTGATGCTCTGCCTTCCTTGCTAGATGGTAGGCTTGAGAACAGGGCTGGTATCTGGCCACTGCTGAATCCCCAGCACCACATAGCATTTGGCACAGAGCAAGTGCTCAAGAGATACTACCGAATCATTCAGTTAAAAGCAAAAATTTGGCTTTCTCAAGCACTTTCACAGTGTACTTCATGAAGCCGCCAACAAAGCCATTTGGTCTGGGCAAGCAGGCTGTGCATTGCCCAACTCTAGGGTTTGGAGACAGGCCACCTCTACATATACCAGGGCTTGACAAGTGTTTACTGTAAAGGGTTGTCGTGACAGGAAAGCAGTCATAGATACTACATAAACAGGAGTGGCTGTGTTCCAATGGCACTTTATTTACAAAAACAGGTGGTGGGCAAGTTTTGGCCCACAGGCCTTAGAGTTTGTCAACCTCTGACATAAATGATGTTGTGATTAGTATCCCTTGAAGTTGTGCCTCGAGATTGGCTTTGGGTAATTCAAACCTTTCCAAGTGCTTCTGAACCATGAACAAAGATTTGACAACCCTGCCATAATAAGTGAGTCGCAACTATCTAGCCACAGACTACAAAGGGAATTCTCTTTGAGGCCTGAGGCTAGATGCATAGTGCTTCTCAATGTGCTGTGTTTGTGTACTTTGGATTTGAAAGTTGAACATGACAAGACAATAAGTAATATCTTACCTGGAGACTGTGTGTGCATCATAGAGGGAGACTGATTAACTGTGCTGTGATAAGATGTAGGGGGTGAAGTAAGAGGATAAGCGCCTGATGTTCCTGGCTGCTTAGGAAATGGCTGAAAAGAAGAAAATAAAATGTTGGTAAAATGGCTGACTGTAGACAGTATAAGAGTGTGGCTTTCCATAGTTATAGCCACAATGGTAACATTAACACACTTCACTGGTTACCAAATAGGAAATGTGAGGTATGAAAGTACACAAAATATACATTAACAACACAAGTCTTTGAAAACTCCTTGACTTTCAGCTGGGAACAGTGACTCACGCCTATAATCCCAGCATTTTGGGAGGCCAAGTCGGATCACCTGAGGCCAGGAGTTTGAAGTCAGCCTGCAACACAGGGAGAAGACCATCTCTACTAAATAAATTAGCTGGATGTGGTGGCTCACACCTGTAGTCTCAGCTACTCTGGAAGCTGAGGTAGGAGGATTGCTTAAACCCAGGAGTTGAAGGTTGCAGTGAGCTATGATTGTGCCACTGCATACTAGCATGAGCAACAGAGCATACTAACCTGAGCCACTGCATACTAGCCTGGGCAACAGAGCACCCTGTCTCAAAAAATAATAATCATACAAAAAACTCTGACTTTCAAAATGATTTTTAAAATAGCAACACTCTCATTCCTGACACTGCAACATTCATTGCTTTCTATCCCCTAAGATTTTTTTTGTTCATTTTATTTACCATGTCACTCACTTATCTCTATTATTTATCTACCATTTCATTGATTGTAAGATATTTTCCCCCCCACATTTTAACATCTCTGAAATCAGTGTGTGTCTTTCAATTTATGGCATGTTCATTTATTTAACTGACAGCAAAAAATAGTGCATTTTATATGTGGTGGAGTTTAGAGTCACTGAAATATGGTAGTTCAACCTGACCTCTACTCTCCTTATCTCCATCTCTAGTAATAAAAAAACAAGGACAATCTAATTACCTTTCTAGTCTAGTTTTTAAATTGAGGTATGAATCACATATAGTAAAGTACAGAAATTTTAAATATATAGTTTAATTTTTTTAATGTAAATACCACAGAGATCAAAATACAGAAGAACATTACCAGAACCCCAGAGGCCACCCTTATACACTTTCCAAGTCTTTATCACATCCCCACAGGTAAGCACTAGTCTGATGTCCATCACGCAAACTTAGTTTTTGCATTTCATTTGAATACTGAATGCACTCTTTATAGTGTCTGGTTTCTTTTGTTCAATGTTATCTCAGTGAAATTCATCCAGGGTAGTGCCACACAGCAATAGTTTGGTTTTTTTAAATTTTTTATTTCTATGAAGTACTCCACTGAATGAATATAACTGAATTATTTGTTCATTCTACTGTGCTGGATATTTGGGTTGTTTACTGGGTAACTTTCTGGGTAACTAATGTTGCTATAAACACTCGTGTTTCCTGATGCATTTCTGTTGCATATATACCTAAGAGTAGAAATGTTAAATCACAGGTATGCATAGTGTTCATCCTCAGCACTCTGGAATATTGCTCAACACCATTGCAAGATAGTTGTACCATTTTACACATCTAGTAGTAAATGAGAGCGTGTCAGTTGCTCCTAATAACAAATGTTAGAGAAAATTATCAATTTTTTCTTAAAGTCATTTTTGTGAATGTGGAGTGCTAATTCACTGTGGTTTTAGTTTGTATTTCTCATGCCAAATGACGTTTTGATGTTTGAGTATCTTTTCTGTGCCGGCCATTTGGACATCCCATTTTGTAAAATGCATTGAATCTTTTACCCATTTTTAAAGCTACATTGTCTTTTTTCCCCTTATTGTTTCTTCCTACGCTATTCTAAAAAAAATTATAGAATTTAGACTCTCTAATACACAAGCTACAAAACCATATATTCGCCTGTGCTGTTTATCCAATAATGTAGGATGTACCTTTCAGAGATGTAATCCATACTGACATATTATTAAAACTATAGTATTCCTAAGCTTTTATATTTTCTTCCTTTCTCATGAACTAAAACTGTGCATTACAAAATATGAAAAGTGGCCGGGCACAGTGGCTCAAGCCTGTAATTCCAGCACTTTGGGAGGCGGAGGTGAGAGGATTGCCTGATCCCACATGTTCAAGACCAGCCTGGGCAACTTGGTGAGACCTTGTCTCTACAATAAATAAAAAAAAATTAGCTGAGCATGATAGCGCACACCTGTAGTTCCAGCTACTTGGAAAGCTGAGATGGAAGGATTGCCTAAGCCCAGCGGATTGACGCTGGGGTGGCTATGAGCATTCCACTGCACCCTAGCCTGGGCAATAGAGTGAGACTCCAACTCCAAAAAAAAAGAAAGAAAAGAAAAGCCACCTGCTTACATCAAGTAAAAATGTACATAAATCCCTTTATGAACATTGTTTTCCTCACAACTGTCTTATACGGGAGATTAATAGTTCACAAATAAGGGTACAGCATAGACATCTGGTGAAAAGAAAATAACTGAAAACTTAAATGTTCAATAAAATGATGATCCTTAAGAGTCTCTAATGCCGGGCAACCCCTTCAACTGTGGGAGCTTTTCTGTCCTCTGAATAAATCCTGCTTTCTCGGGGGAAAAAAAAAAAAGAGTACCTAAAGCCAAAGCTATTGACTAAAGACATTTAGCCATAGCATAGGAATATTCTTTCAAAATCATTCTGACTGGTATTAAATGTCAAATGTTGAACTTTAAAAATAAACAAAAAAGCTCTACTTATACATTGAATATAGAGCAAGAAAAAGCAAAAAATTTCTAAAGTTTTCACAAAGTGACAAATGACTAACGTTTCTAGAATATTCTAATTTTTCTCCCATCTACCTACTTCTAATCCTCCTGACACAGCCTGTAACTATTTTCCTAGTTTAAAATTTCATGTCAGTATGAAATGTTACTAGTAAATAGACCTCTTGGCAAAATCAGAATATCTAATAAACTATCACCGTAGGCTCTGTGTCAGATCACGATTTTTTTTTTTTCAGGGACAAAAATTATTGTACAGGGGCCAATGAACAACTCATCTAGGGAGGGGGAGAGAATAATAGACCACATTCTTCCTCCACTCCTATAACATTGGCCCTGTTATGGCCATAGTCACTAGCCAGCCCGTATCAATTACTTCTATCCCCTAAAAGACATGGCTCATCTCCTGCTCCATGTCAGGTACAAGAAAGCCCTATAATGCAAGAAAGTGGCTTCCACCAAGTAAAAAAATCTGCTCTGGCATCTGCTGGGCCAAGGCACATTTCTCCCACAATGGTCCAGCATTCTCAAAGGGCTAGTACTTCACTTGCGTCAACGTCTATCACAAGAGCCCCACACCTTGGCTACATGGGGTTTTACTGAGCTTTCTTGCATCTTCAGGAAGGTCAAGAAGGGAAATAATGAGAAGGCAAGAAATGCTAAATAGCTTCCAGGGACAATGTACCTTCTACAACACCCTCCTTCAGGTAAGAATGTAGTACTCTGTCAAAGAGGTAAGTACTGGAAAGCTGCAGTTACTAAGTAGCCAGACCAGAAGCTAGGCAGTAAAACAAGCTAGGTGAATTCTCTGCACAATGCTGGTTCCAAGCAATGCTGTTTCATGAAAGCTTCTAGGTGAGTAGCAGGGAGCTATTTTGCAAACCATATCTAAAGGATATACCAAAGAGCCTTCCTTACCTATGGAATGCATGCTGACATACAACTAAAACTGGAGCCACTAAAGACTCCAGCTCAGAGTCCACAGCCACAACAAGTAATTTCCAGGCTACAGAGTAACACAGGACTGAAGAAGGACTTAAGGATAACTCCTTACCCTCTGTTTTAGGAGGGTAAAAGAACAAAGGCTGGCCTAAAGGTCTGCTCAACTCTCACAAATGAGAAGGTGACAGGATAGTACTGAAAGCTCTTAAGATTCTATAATGTGGCTTATCCAAATAGTGTGAGGACAGAATCCTGAAAATATGTATACCTGTTCTCTGCAGGAGTCTCTGCTGAACATCAACTAGACATTTAGTTCACGTGCTCTACTGTAATAACAACTGTCTTTCAAGACATGGTGAGGACACTCGCAAAGATTTCCTCATACTCTGCAGATGATGTTTCCATCCTAGGAATCACGTAAACATCATTCTAGGTGCATGATCTGAGAGTCAAAGGTTAATGCTATTTCTGATATTATACACTTCCCAGTACTCATTTAATTCTGTAACACTTTTATCACAAAGATTTCCTGGGCATCTCAGGCCCACCAAAGACTCCCTAACTTTCAACAAAAAAGCTCTGACACCTATAGAACCTGTGAGGTTACAGAACTATGATACTGTTTGGAATTTTGGCTAGACATTACCTGTTGCTGGGGTGGTGGCTGGAGTTGTGATATTAACGAATCCATCATATCTCCTCCTATAGGAGAAGGAGGATTATCATCCTCATTTACAGACCTCCTTCGAGCATCCTGATTGCTATCAACAAACATATTCAGGAATGTCTACGGATATAAACAGGTAAAACTTAGATTATTTTACTTAATGTTAATAAAACATTTTTAATCATTTAGAATATTTAAACAGAAACTAACACATTATGTCCATCCCTGAAAATGATTAGGACAACCTAAAAGAGATACTGCTAATTTTGAAGGAAGGAAGGAATTGAGGAAAATGGTTAATAACAATAAAAACACCATCCAAGTATAAAAATCCTACCAACTGAGAAGTATTGTGTGAGCAAAACACTGAAGAAACAAGTACACCCTAGCACCTCTTACTACCAGGTCAAAATATGTTGTTAACTTCTGACCCAGAAATGAGGGGCAGGGAAAACAAAATGTTCTGTGTTGACTATAACTTTAAGGGCTTGGAAAACTTCCCATTTAGTGAGAGCTCTCACTTTTTAAGCTAGAAATATGACAGAAAAACCAAGTAGGAAACTAACCAACTTTTCCCTTTTTATATTATATGATTTAATCTTGAATCATTCAGAGTGGGAAAGCCTTGTTTTATAAAATATGTCATAAGCTGGGCTCAGTGGCTCAGCCTGTAATCCCGCGCTTTTGGGAGGCTGAGGTGAGTGGATTGCCTGAGCCCGCGGGTTTGAGACCCGCCTGGGCAGCGAGACCTTATCTCTACAATAAAATAAAAAAATCAGCTGGGCGTGGTAGCGCATGCCTGTAATTCCAGCTACTCAGAAGGCTGAGGCGGAAGGATCGCCAGAGCCCAGCAGGCGAGGCTCCGGGCCACCACACTCCAGTCTGGGCGACCCAGTGAGACTCCAACTCAAAAAAAAAAAAAAAAAGTCATCAAAAAATTGAGCAAGGCTACCAGAGTTTGTTTCAAGCACAGATTCTCTTTCTTTTAATACTCCACACCTTCCCAGTCTTCAAAAATATGTATAAGCTTATCAAAATCACTAGAGCTAATAAAGTATATAGTCTACTTTTAATTAAAAATGATGGGCCAGGTGTGGCGGCTCACGCCTATAATACCAGCACTTTGGGAGGCGAGAGTGAGAGGATTGCCTGAGCCCACGTGTTCGAGACCAGCCTGGGCTATGTGGTGAGACCTCATCTCTAAAATAAATTTTTAAAAAGTAGCCGGGCATGATGAAACGTGACTGTAGTTCCAGCTACTTGGAAAGCTGAGTCAGAAGGATTGCCTGAACCCAGCAGGTGGAGGCTGCGGTGGCTGGGAGCGTGCCACTGCTCTCCAGCCTCCGGCCTCCAGCCTGAGTGACAGAGTGAGACTCCAACTGAAGGAAGAAAAAAAAAGATGATGGGTTAACAACATACATTTCATCATATCCCAATACCCTATTAAAACTACTGGGGGAAAATGTGAAGCAATAAGACACAAAGACAAAAAGAAGAGGAGAAAAAACAGCAACACATTCTGAAGACTGCAAAGTAGATGGCTGTATGGCAACTGCACCAGCCAGTGTAAGAGAGCTGTGTCCTAAGCAAGCCACAGGGAAAGCCAAGAAGCAAAGTTATCTCATCCAGATTCCTAAGATACTTTGAAACAGGCAGCATTAGGTACCTTTGAAAATGAGGATGAAAGTGAAACTAAAAACAGAAGAACTGGGTGAAACTCCCAGATCTTCTGCCACTCTGAACTTGGTTGATCTCTTCCACTCTGGAGGAGGATCTCTCAATTGGGGGACCCCAGGATCAACCGAGAGAAGGAACACCATATTAAGAAATGGAGATTAAAGTCTACCTACTGAAAACTGAGAATACTAGCTTTCTTCTCTCATCTCTCCCCTTCTCTCATCACATCCCCCAAATTGGGGGCCAGATGCATATTGTCTATGCAGAACACTTGGAGACTCTTCTCATGGTACTCATACCAGTCCAACAAAAAGACCTAAAGCTACTGACATTAGGAGTTTCCCAAAGAAATGGCTCAAAAAGATCATTCTGCAATGAAGACTATGGTCAAAAAGTCTTAACTTTAATTAAGAGCAGAGAGTAATTAAGAATCACTTAATATTTGAAGAAAGACACTAACATGAAAGAGATCAACAATGCCCTAAAGTAAAGTGAATAAAACAGAGGTTATATATGAAAAAAGGAGGTAAGAGAAGATAACATAGCCATACAAAAATAGAATGTTGTACAATAAACACTGAGAAACAACAACAAAGCTTTTGGAATTTTTAAAAAGATGATCAAGAAAAAAATCTTGGCAGAAATGAAAAAGTAGAAAGACTGAAGTTAAAAAATGTTTTCTCAAGCCGGGCTCGATGGCTCAGCCTATAATCCCGTGCCTTTGGGAGGCTGAGGTGAGTGGATTGCCTAAGCCCGCGGGTTCGAGGCCCGCCTGGGCAGCGAGATCTCATCTCTACAATAAATCAAAAAATCAGCTGGGCTTGGTAGCGCATGCCTGTAATTCTGGCTATTTGGAAGGCTGAGGTGGAAGGATCGCCAGAGCCCAGCGGGTCGAGGCTGCGGTGGTCGGGAGCGGCCACTGCACTCCAGTCTGGGCAACAGAGTGAGACTCCAACTCAAAAAAAAAAAATGTTTTCTCCCAGAAACAAAGAGACAAAAAAACAGGATATGAGAAAATTAGCGGACAAGAAAACTGGCGGACAGGATGCCCAATATCAGAGCAGTAGGAGCACTCGAAAAAAGCTAACAGATAAAATAAAGGAGAGAAATCAAAAACTAATACAAGGAAATTTCCCAAAATAAAAGGATATATATGAGGGGGGAATGCAAAAAAATCAGAATTCTCTTTTGGAGGGTGGGCACCTTGTAGTACAGGCTTCCCCGCTAGGTAAGTGTTCTAGGACTCCATCAGCATCAATGTACTAGCTAGAGAGGCTGCGTTTGGCTTTGGTGAATTTTTTTTGTTTGGAGGTTGTTGTCACCCAATCTCACCCCAAGCAACATTTTTTTGTTTCCTCCATAAAAAAAGCCCTCAAAGGAAAATGGTTTGTCCATATGGAAGAGGTAAAACCAAAAACAGCAGAACCACTAAAAGGCATCAAAACCGATGAGTTCAAAAACTGTTTTGAGTTGTAGAAAAAGTATCTCAACAGGTGTATGGCATGAAACAGACTACTTTGAAAGCAACTGAAATTTAAACATGTAAGAATAAATATACAATCTTTAATAAATAAATTCCGAGGTTTTTTTGGTCCTCCTCATATATACATTTTCAGATTGAAGTAGCCCACTTAAGTTACATAAGGTCCAAGAATTAGAACAACATTAAAAATCTCAATAGTCACAATGGAAGCTAAAAGACAACAAAGTAATGGCTTCAAAATTTTTACAGAAAATGATTGTAACCTAGAATTTTATACCTAGACACTTTCAATTGGATATGGGTAAAAAGAAAAGTAGCTTTCAGACATGCAAGGTCTCAAATTAATCTCCCATATACCTTCTCCCAGGAAACTACTGTCAGAGGTATTCTACCAAAACAATGAAGAAAGAAACATGAAGTCCAAGCCACAAGGCATACAACACAATAGAGGAGTAAAGGAAATTTCCCTTCATTCTTCTGCAAATTCCTGAGTCAAAACTGCCAAAGGTCTGAAGCACTAGCAGTCCAAATTGGAGCATGTTGGAGGACTATGGAAGAGATTTTTTTCAAGATGAAGCTAATAAGGTTTCTGGTATGTTTGAATGCACCAAGAGTAACATAACTAAGAGAGAGTTTAAAGTTAATTAGTGATAAGTACAGAGAAACCTAAGTCAAACAAAAAGCCAATTAAAATTCCCAGGAAAATAAAATGTTGAGCAAGAAAGGAAAAGTAACCATAGTAAGCTTGGTGAAGCAGTGTTTACATATTCATAATAATGCAAACACTGAAAAATGATCTTATCAAAATTGCTGTGTAACCATATTACAAAGATAAGAAGAAAGAAGGTGTTTATGTACTAGGAGCAGCCTAGAAGGGTGAAAGCACACATAAAAAAGAATTTAGAAGGAATTAAATCTTCATCTTCTATTGTGAGAATTGGATAATGCCCTCAACCAAAAAGTCAACAAATAGCAATGTAAGCACGCTACTTAGAGATAAAAATATAAATACCAAGAGCATCAGCTATGTAAGAGTTGAAAACAGTGGCATCTAGGGAGCAGGAATATGGCAAGAGTGAATAGCAGGAGACTATTTTTCAAAACAAGCCTCTAGGAACTAGCTGACTCTAAACTATAAATACATATAACTGAGCTATCACACCAGATTCTCTGGGGATTTGACCCAGGACTTTACATTTTAAAAAAGCATCACAGTTAAACTGATAACCAAACAATTTCTATAATCAATGATAATAACTATTTTCAACGTTCCTCAAAATTCCAAATAGTCACCATTGCTTTGTTAAACTCTGATGTGTCCATATGGCTCTTTGAGCTATGGCCGCCATGTTTCCTAGCTTTGGCCCCCTCCGTTACCTTGGGGAGGTGAATCTCTTTTCTCTAATCTACTTTCTAAAATGGTTTTGATCTTCTTTCTTTTTACAGAAAAAAATTGGCTTCTTTGCATACTTTTGGTTTGTTACCAAAATGTACAGTATGATGAAAGTTGACTGAAGAAGCCCAGTATGTCCAGTTAAAACAGAAACAAATTCAATTCTTCACCAACAAAGAAAAAAAACAATTCCAAATAGCAAATACAACTCTCTTCACTATCTTCACCTTACTTAACAAAGAGTAAGAAAATAAAAGACTTTTAGCCAGGTTCGGTGGCTCAGCCTGTAATCCTGTGCTTTGGGAGGCTGAGGTGAGTAGATTGCCTGAGCCCGCGGGTTCGAGACCCGCCTGGACAACTTGGCGAGACCTCATCTCTACAACAAATCAAAAAATCAGCCGGGCGTAGTAGCGTGTGCCAAGTAGTAGTTCCAACTACTTGAAAGGCTGAGGCAGAAGGATAGCTGGAGCCCAGCAGGTCGAGGCAGCAGTGGCCGGGAGCAGCCACTGCACTCCAGTCTGGGTGACAGAGTGAGACTCCAACTCAAAAAATAAATAAATAAATAAAATAAAAGACTTTTAATCATCTCATACACATAGGCAGAGCACTTTATCAGAACTTCTAAGCTTCTTCAGAATAAAGTTGCAAAGATGATAAAACAAGTTTTCTACTTATCACATTTAAACAGGAATTTGCTGCTTTTCCCCATTATTTCTCCCTCAAATTGTTTTAGAGATCATTTTATGTTTATTCATACTATAACACTAAAATCTGTTACCTTTAGTCCTGGTGCAGGATAAAAACCTTCAACTAATTTGCTGTTATCAAAAAGACTATAGGCACCATCCCGTATTGCCACAACACCTCGACTCCGGCAGTATATATCAATGCAATACATGTTCCTGAAGGCCAGTCTGATGTGGGTGGACGACTGAGGCAGAATGGAGAAGCACTGGTAGGCAGTATTGGTTCTCTGGGTCAGACCCAACATTGGCACAGTGGGGAGTTTGTTGATGGCATTTAATGGAGCCTGAGTATCAAACAGTACCTATAAAAACAATCACAATGAGAGCAGCCAATTTCTGCACAAATGTTAAAACCTCGGAATTTTCAGTATGTAAGTGTCATAGATGAGACAATGTCCTTCTGGCCCATTCTATAAAACTCCCCCTGAAGAGAATGCAAACTAGATCAGTGTTCATACTGCATTAAAAAATTCTCAAAGAAGCATTCAAGATATAAAAGAAAGTCACCAGCCTTAGTCACTAAAGACAAATAAGTCCCCATGATGTTTTGCGGAGTTTTGTAGGAGACACTAACACTAAGTCTTATTTTTGAACAGAAAATAAATTCAATTACCTGTAATAATTGAACCACATTTGGTGTTTTGTTGAACATTTCTTGAAGCTGATGGAGAATGGTATTGTGGCAGTTACTGCAACCTGAGTTTGGACCAACAGTTCCCAAAGAAATGTGAAATTTCTGATGGATCGAATTCCACTGGATACTAATCTAAATCAAAGAGATTACATGTTTCAGATTGAGAAAGTAGCAAATTTAAGTAGAAGAAAAACATGTTAAAAATAAGGTGAGGCCGGGCTCGATGGCTCAGCCTGTAATCCTAGCACTTTGGGAGGCCGAGGCGAGTGGAGGGCCTGAGCCCGCAGGTTCGAGACCCGTTCGGGCAACTTGGTGAGACCTCTGTCTTTACAATAAATCAAAAATTAGCCAGGCGTGGCAGTGCGCGCCTGTAGTTTCGGCTCCTTGGGAGGATCGCCGGAGCCCAACAGGGCAAGGCTGCAGTGGCCGGGAGCGTGCCACTACACTCCAGCCCGGGCACCACAGTGAGATTCCAACTCCAAAAAAAAAAAAAAGTGAAATGATAAAAACCTATGTAAGATTTTTTTTTGTGAAACAATAAAATAAGACTAGAGTCGGGCTCAATGGCTCAGCCTGTAATTCCACGCTTTGGGAGGCTGAGGTGAGTGGACTGCCTGAGCCCGCGGGTTCGAGACCCGCCTGGACAACTTGGCGAGACCTCATCTCTACAATAAATCAAAAAATTAGCCGGGCGTGGTAGCGTGCGCCTGTAGTTCCAGCTAGTTGGAAGTCTGAGGCAGAAGGATCGCTGGAGCCCAGTAGGTCGAGGCTGCGGTGGCCGGGAGCGTGCCACTGCACTCCAGTCTGGGTGACAGAGTGAGACTCCAACTCAAAAATAAAAATAAATAAATAAATAAAAATAAGAGTGGATTCAAACTTCAGATGTGCTATTAATATGGACCAGTACATTCCCTGAGCATGTATGTGTTAGCCCTCTTCTACTAAATAAAATAGAAAGAGAAGGTACTAAAGACAATTTTTAAATTAAATTTTGACAATTATCATTAGTGTTTCTTTTTTTTCATTTTTCTCTTGAACTGAAGAAAAGTCACATTCTTGCTACCATCAACTAAAGAACACTGTCATAAAGGGGAAGGAAGTCACCCTCAACACAGATTTGGTTAATGATTTTTAAACACTCAAGTAATTTCTACATTACTTGATGTAGAAGAGTCTAGAGTGAAGCCAGTTGGCTGCATTTTTATACTAAAAATTCTAGGGCTTTATATATGGAGTGTGGAAAAAATAAGAAACTGTAGATTACAGGGAATACCTTCAAGATTAAGAAAATATCAAATACTGCTAACATTCATGTGACCAAAAGTAAAAACATACCATACTGTTCATAACCATTCATACATAATCTTCCTTACAAAAATCATGTTGCCAAGCAGATCTGGAATCATTGAAGAGAAAAATACACATGCCAAAAGTGCATTACCATGCCCAAAACTCCTCAAGATCATATACCTCATCAGAGGGTATTACTTTTATTTTCAGTTTTAAAGAGGTAAGCATTATAGTATATTTATAGCCACATAGCATTTAAAATTTAACATTTTATCCCTGATTTTTACACCTGAGCCCTGACTTAGGTACATTTCATGTTTTGTTTTGTTTTTTTAATTCGTGGTTTTTAAAAGGTTTATATGAGAGGATCTTCACCATTTTAATTCAGACTTACTGAGCTTCCCTTGGTGGTTCCATAACACAGGATAAGTTTTCGGTAATTATAAACACGGACTTCTGAGAAAATATTTAGATGAGCAGGTATGTCTAAACAGAAAGGAAGAAAAAAGGAGATTAATATTATACACGCAAAACTTTAAAATATAAATTTAAATAAGAGGGCATCTTGGCAATATTATATGCATAGATGGGGCTCTAAGTAAGTAATTTAGTTTAAAAAAAAAAAGCAACAGCATAAGTAAATAGCATATTTTTATTTCTAAATAAAAGGGCCAGGGCAGGGGGTGAGACATAATGAAGCAGTCTAGCACAGTGGTTAGATTCCAGTTCCAGCTCTGCCACTTACTAGCTATGGGACTGTCAGCAAAGTTCTCAGTCTCTATGACTTGTTTTCTTTTATAAAATAAAAAATAATACCTACCCCACATGGTGACTATGAAGATGAAATGAATTAACACAAGCAAACTGTTTACTACAGCACAAAGTAAACAAGTACTATTATTGCAACATGGTATACCTGTGTGTAAAAATTTGTTAAAAAAAGAAATTTAACAGTAGTTACCTCTGGGGGAAAGAAAATTCAGAAGTACAGCAAATGAAAATTAAGTGTCCCTTTCACCTTAGACACTGAGTCTAAGTGCATGGTTTACTTCTTTAGTTTAAAAAAAAAAAAGAGACTGGGGTTTTTTTCATATTATTTAAAAGGAAAAGGATCACATGTACCTGGTAGAGAACGTGCAAATTCCAACACACACTCATATAAACGTGCAATGCTATTCCAGTCATTAAGAAACATTTCAACCACTTTTCTACCACCAACAGGCTCAGACAACAGATTTTCATATGTCAGGTAAACATGCCGGGATGGTCCTACAGGATTAAAAAAGAAGATTAACAGTAATAATACTAAAAAAAACCCAGAAATATGCAAAGAAAAAATGTGTAAAACATCTCACCTTGCTCCCTGGTAGAAGTGCCATTAAGTGGACAATTTGCAAACACTAACTCTGCCACCCATGTGCGGTTATTTCTACCTTGTAATCGGAAAGTGCAATCGAGAAGAGAGCGGTCCAGAGCCTTTTGGGTTTCCTCATTCACACCCTTACAGGGAGGAATTCTGGTGATGAAAGATAGCATATGAAGTGTACTTTACACAGACAAAGCACAATGTACACAATGATGGGCAGGGTATGATAGAGCTTCATTTCAAAACTCTACTTCTAGATACCTTCTGCTGAGGAAGAAAGCAATTCACAATTTAATAGTATTTAACCCATTTCCATTCACACCAACATGAATTCAAACTCTCACTTTGTTCATAATCTTGTTATTAAAAAAAGAACACAAATCTGCAGAACGAAAATCAAGAATACTGGTTTTCTGCAAAATCTATCTAGAATATCTGAAAGAAAAAGCTAAGGGAAACAACATACTTATAAAACAACTCTTTGAAGACAATAGTATCATACAAAGAAAGGGCTCTGGTGTCAGAGACATGCATTCTGACTCTGACTCGGCCACATTTAACCTCTTTGCATTTCAGTTTCCCAACTATAAAACAGAATCAAAGAATTACCTTCTGGGTCATTAGTGGGGGAAAAAAGTGCTTATGGTGGATGATACAGTGGGTATTCATATATGTTTTTGTTTTAAAGAGAATGGGTTTCACTTGGGATCAAGGGATTCTCCAACCTGAGTAACTAGAATTACAGGCAGGCGTCACCATGCCTGGTCCCATAAGTATTAACCCATTGCACTCCAATGCCCCTTCTCAGGGGACATAGAGTTTGCTGGTGATTACACAGGACAAACTTATGCCAGCGCTAATTTTTCAAAATTTTATGTTTTATTGACGTTTTCCATTTAAACCACACACAAAAAAGCAAATATAGAGATGAATTACATTCTGATACATACATTTAACAAAATACCAAGCCAGGCACAGTGGCTCATGTCTGTAATCCTAGCACTTTGGGAGGCGGAGGCGAGAGAATTGCCTGAGTTCAAGGGCTTGAGACCAGCCTGGGCAACTTGGCAAGGCCTCATCTCTACAAAAAAATTTTTTAAATTAGCCAAATGTGGTGGCGCACACCTAAAGTTCCAGCTACTTGAGAAGCTGAGGCAGGATTCCCTGAGCCCAACAAGTTGAAGCTGCAGTGGCCGTGAGCATGGCACTACACTCCAGCATGGGTGATACAGTGAGACTCCAACTCAAAAAACAAAAAAAATCATTTGGCATTACATAGAAAGAAAATGTCCTTCTGTGTTATCTTCATACAACAGACTGGACGATAAATCACATACTATTAATGTGGGAGGAAGAAAACAAGACTGCATTGTCTATTTGAAAAGAAAAACACCAGGTGGAAGACATCAGACAAATTACTACTGTACAGCATTTATGAACAAACCTGCAATGCATGTTGGTGATTGTTTCACATATTAGAAATATATGAGATTTTGATTTTTTTGTCATAAATAAGTTCAATATCCAAAATTCCATTATGAGTCAAGTATCATTACAATAAAATAACTGGTTCAAATGCTTTACTATTTAGTATGAAGTGATTCGTTTTTCACTATTTCGCAAAGTGCAGTCAAGTTGCTGGTAGACAATCCATGAGATGTCTCTGAGTGCAAAGGGTTAACTCATCTTGGACACATCTTGGTCACTGATTGAACTGCCACGATAAAATTCCAGGTTCATTATCTCTCCTTCACAGCCTCCTCCTCTGTAGAAGTAAATCTTACTTTGGGATGGAGACTTATATGTATTTACTCATTAACACGCATATTGTCAAATGTGTATTACATATGCAAGGGGAATGTAGTATCTCTGGTATCTTAAAAATACCTCCCTATCCACTTTCCTTTTACAGCTTTACAAACTATCACATTTGTCATAAAACATTATGAGGTAATATAATTTAGTTGTTAATGAGTTCTTTCAGTAATGGATAAAATAATCAGATAGCATATTATTTAACTACACATTAACCCTTATCTCACAGGGAAGATGGTTCTCAGATTTGATATGATAGTCTATAACAAGGCAAAAAAATCAATAAATTGGAAATATGAAATCTTGGTACAGACTTCTTATTCAGAATATAACACCAAGAACAGGGTTTCTCAACGTGGCAATATTGGCATTTTGGGCTGGATAATTCTTTGCTGTGGAGAGCTGTCCTGTGCAGCCCTGGCTTCTACCTACTAGATGGTAGCAGTGCCTCCTAGCCCCTCTTAACGATAATCAAAAATATTTCCAGATAGTGCCAAACATGCCTTGCAGGGCAAAACTGCCCTGGGATTGAGAACCACTGACCTAGAGTAAACTACTTAAGAGAGCAAAAAAGAGACAGATATTGCACGTGGTAAAAAGTAAAAATTTATAGGAAGGAAGAAAGCTATAAAGGTTGCATAAAAATCGAATTAATGCAGTACTGAAATTTACTCAATCAATTAAAACTTCTATCCCAGCTCCTCTTCAAAATACCGTTTTTAAAATTTTCAAAAGTTTGCCGGGCATGGTGGTTCATGCCTATGATCCCAGCACTTTAGGAGGCCAAGGCTAGAGCACTGTCTGAGCCCACAGGTTCGAGACCAGCCTGGGCAACTTGGCGAGACCTCATCTCTACCAATATATCAAAAAAAAAAATTTGCCAGGCATGATAGCGCGCGCCTGTAGTTCCAGCTACTAGGAAGGCTGAGCGGAAGGATCCCCTGAGCCCAGCCAGTCGAGGCTGTAGTGGCCGTGAGCGTGACACTGCAATCCAGCCTGGGTGACAGAGTGAGACTCCGACTCCAAATAAATAAATAAATTTTTCAAAAGTTAATCTTTCACACTACATGCTTCTTATCACTACCAGAAAGATGTCCTCCAAGTAATTTCTGGGCAGTTAGTCTAGAAACTGCTTACACTGCCCCTCTGTTCTTTAACTTGACAAGTACACTGAGGACTTGCCTGCCCCTTTCCCCTCACAGCACAACCCTCCCCATAGGAGTTATAAAGCAGCCAATTCAGATAGATTTTCACATCTCGAGTTTGAAAATATAAAAGTAGTAAACAATCTTCCTTCCAAATAAAGTTCGTTTTTCATGAAATCTATCTAGGTACCAAATGAAAGTACAGAAGTCAGCATGTCTTCGAATGAGAACTAAGGCAAATATAAGCCTCTTTTCAATGTATGCTCTCAGGGACAGCAAGACCCTGGAAGTACATTCTATGTCACTTTCTTAATTTGTGACACAGATATAATTGGCTCTACTTCACGGAACTTGAAAAATATTTACTTGCTTTTAAGGTTATGAATGTAAGAAAGAATCAAAATAAACTTTAATTCTAACTTTAATCCTAGCAGCATGATCATTCCCCAAAAGAAAACTGAGAGGAATGTTACACTTAAAATACTGCAAAATACTATTCTGTTGGCCTCAAATTTTTAGATAAAGTTAATTCATTTTCTGGAAAATGGATTAAATAACTTTATCTAAAAATGTCTACCAATTCAAAATTTTTCAATCTACACAGTCACTCCTGATTTTTCTCCTGTATTTCTGAATACTGAACAAAGTGAAAAGCTAGGCTATGGTCTTGTAGGCAGATGTAGGTCAGTTTTGTTGTGAAGGTTTTTTCCTTTTGAGTTAGAGTCTCACTCTGTTGCACAGGCTGGAGTGCAGTGGCACGCTCACAGCCACCGCAGCCTTGACCTGCTGGGCTCAGGCGATTGATTCTTCCGCCTCAGCCTTCCAAGTAGCTGGAACTACAGGTGCATGGCCCCACGACCGGCTAATTTTTTGATTTATTGTAGAGATGAGGTCTCGCTAAGTTGCTCGGGTTGGTTTCAAACTCATGAGCTCAGGCAACCCTCTAACCTTGGCCTCCCAACCAAAGTGCTGGGATTATAGGTGTGAACCACCACATGGCCTGAGGGATTTTACAAACATCATTAAATACATTATGGTTCCACAGTGCAAAAGCAGGCAGGTCACTTAAAGTGCTAGTAAAAGAAGTACACACGTGCCTACAAGGAAAGTGAAGAGGGTTTTTATAAAGGCTCTACATGTATATGTAGAAGAACAAGCTGAGTCACACAACTTGCAAAAAAGAGCTGTGCCTGTACATTATCAGCATAAGCTATAGAAGGCAATGAAACACAACGGAGGAGATGAGAAAGCCTGGTGGCTGTGGCCAAGGACCTGTTCCACTTCCCGCTACTGTAATGTGAGTTCAGTAGAAGGTGCAAAGTTTGCTCAAGAGCCAAAACCAGACACCATAAGCATGCTGCTCTTGACTCGTGTCCCAAGCCTCATTTGTGTCACAGGATCAAGGCTCTTTTGAATCTGCACAAGCAACAGGTCCATGAGCCATAGCAATTGAAGATTACTATGATGTATCTAATATCATGATTTCAGAGATGCATAAAGGAAATCTGCTCAGTAGATTTTCAAGGAGAAAAAGTTGAACAAGAGCAGAAAGCATTTTTGGCAAAGGGAAGGAAAATGTGCCAATTTTAAGGCTTTGAACAGAACAATTCATATTCCTTTTCAATATTAATATATCTAGGAACAAAAGCTTGAAAGGAGAGTTTCTGAAGATTAAATGCATTGAGTGCAATTACATACAATTAAATACAAATTAGACCTATGCAGGATTTTTATTTAATAAAATCATGTTGAGATTTTTATTTTTATTATTTACCTTTCCTTCATTTCTATACCCATACCCACTCCCATAATGGATAGCACTTACTGTACGAACAGATATCTTTAACTTATCAATTTCTATATATTTCCCTTTAAGTTTTAATTAGAGAAAACAAAAACTGGGATTAAAGACTTTCTTTAAAAGTATTATAAAATGCCAGGTTCGGTGGCTCAGCCTGTAATCCCGCGCCTTTGGGAAGCTGAGGTGAGTGGATTGTCTGAGCCCGCGGGTTCGAGACCCACCTGGGCAGCAAGACCTCATCTCTACAATAAAATCAAAAAATGAGCCGGGCGTGGTAGCGCGTGCCTGTAATTCCGGCTACTCGGAAGGCTGAGGCGGAAGGATCGCCGGAGTCCAGCAGGTCGAGGCTGCGGTGGCCGGAAGCGGCCACTGCACTCCAGACTGGGCGACAGAGTGAGACTCCAACTCAAAATAAATAAACAAACAAACAAACAAACAAATAAATAAAAGTACTGTAAAATGAAAGTAAAAAATATGGAGTCTTCCTTCCTAGGTAGGGCTCCTAAGAGTTCTCTTGAGTTCAAGAAGAAAGGAGACTCTCAAATTTCTCTTGTAAAAATACTGAGAACAAGATATTTTAAAAATCTTGCAAACCATGAAAAGTACAACTAAGGAAATAGAACACAAACGCTAACATCACCGACTAATCTGCAGGTGCCAAGAAGAGTAAAAAGAAAAAATCCCAATGTTTTAGGCAAAACAATTCATTTTAGGCAAAACAATTCAAAACCAACAACTAAAAGTATTGCATTTTCCTACTGATTTCTATTATAAAGACCAGTTCTCTCTCTCTCTCTTAAAATGTTTTGTTAAGATAGTCAGAAGAACTATTCTAGATCTTCAATTTGTTAGTATCTAAAGTGAACACCAACGATTCATGGGCTACTTGCACACTATTTGCTAGCCCTTTCCATCTTCCACAGAAACAGATTCCCATGTAACAAATATTAAAGCCACATTGCTCAAATTACAGAGCTGCTGTCTTGGCATACAGAGGAATTCAATAAATAAAAATTGCTTACATAATTTATATTGTTAAGCAACATCTGAGAAACAATAAAATGCCCACTGCCCCACAAAAAACCTGTCTTCTGGACCAAAAAGGTTGATCTTGTAGATGGTACTACTCTAGCCTTACAAGGCCATACCGATCACTTTGTAAAGCACATGTACCACATTTGCTTTACGTCTAAGCATCTGTTGCCTCCCTGCTCTCTGTCCACTGAAAACCAAGCCCTTTGCCCATCTCCTTTTTTCACCCATTTTTAAAACCTTGGCAAAATGCACATAACACAAAATTTACTATCTTAGCCATTTTTAAGTGTACAGTTCAGTGGCATTAAATACATTCACAATGTTGTGCAACCATCACCACTATCCATCTCCAGAATTCTTTTTGTTCCCATCTCCTTTGATGTACTTTCCTGGAAATCTAATTTACTACTACAGCTCAATTACTATCACCATAACGATGACTTGCTCTACTTCTCCTGCCCAAACCTGTTACCTGAGCTTCAGACACATCTCTGCCTGCCTAAAGGCTGTTAGTCATCTTAAATTTAGTAGTCTTTTGAAACTCACATCTTCTATGTCCCTTACCTTAAAAACCACCACCACCATCCATCATTTGCCCAAGACAAAACTAAGAATCGTCTCATCTTTGCTACCTTCCCCGCCCCTTCTCACCTCTAACACCAACCTAATCACAACCCTTGAATATTTTATCTCCTAAGTCATGTGGAACCTACCCTAGTCCAAGCTACCAACAAATCTAGCATGAACCATTTCAGCAACTAGTTTAGCGACTTCAGTCTTGCTCCCTCCAGTTTATTCTCCATATTGCTAACAGGCTGAGTTTTCAAAAATATCTGTCTAATGAAGTCAGTTTCTACTTAAAATCATCTGGTATCTTCTTAGTGCCATTAGGATAAAGTCTAAAGTACTTAAGGACACTTACAAAAGAGCTGGTCCTTCATGTTTAATTTCCAGCCTCATCTCTCTTACCTTCTACCATGCTGAGCTCCTTTCGGCTCCAGGATGCCAAGCTCTTTCTTCCCTCCAAGCCTTCACATCAGCAATTATCCCTTTTGGTTAGGATCTCCCACTCCCTCCCACCCCCCTTTCTCCTGGCTAATTCTCACTTTTCCTTCAGTCTAAGTACAACTGATACTTTCTCAGGGATATCCTTCCTGATTTCTGAACTAGCCCACATGCTCCCGCTATATGAACTCTTAGTATCCTGAAGGGCCCTATCAGAAATCAAGCCTGACATAATTACATTCAATAAATATCTGCTGAATGAATGAAAAAAATACAGAAGAAAGACATCCTAAAATACCGATTGACGCTGGATTGCCATTCCACAAATTAAAGGAAATCTCCCTCAAGACCTTAATAATTCTAAGCAGAAAACCATGACACTCACAGGTCCTGAACTCTCCTTTAGGCTGTCTCCTGAAGGAGAGAAACAGCTTTGGCAGTATGACTGCAACATGTGGCACCAAGAGAGACACACAAAAGGGGCTTACTTTAATAAGCGAATTGCATGGCTGAAGCCATCACCTTCCACTTGCACTCCTTGATGTGGAATCTCTAGATTGGACAACTGGAAAGATAAAAACACAATTATATCAGACTTCCCATTTTACAAAGGAAACAACCTTTTCTAAGTACTACAGTCTCTATTCTCATGGCATCTGTTCTAGGGCCACTCTTTTTTTTTTTTTTTTGAGTTGGAGTCTCACTCTGTTGCCC